CCGTCTCACGTTTTGTAGCTCAAGACATCAAGCAAGTAGGGATGGTGCTGTGCAAGCACCATGCAATTGCAAACCACTGATTCCTCTGACCTATCATCGACCTCGTATGGGGTGCCGGCAAAGGCGCAATGTTTATGCTCTGCGACATTGGTTGCAAAACTCCTTGCGGAACCTGGGCAAAACTTGTCGTGACCCCTCCCGAGCAAACGCTCGCGCCCCCCCACCAAGTACGTTAACTCACGGCGCAGATTACCCCTCTCCCCCAACCAGCCATGGGCACATCCACAGGCCACAATTGCAGACGGGGCGCCGTCTTTCCTACTGGGTCAGCCTGCGCACGCTCAACGTTGGCCACCAAATGCAAAGACCCTGCTCTCGCTGGCAGGTAGCTTCCATGTGGGCCCATTGAATGAGCTTTGCCAGGTCAACTTGTTTAGACGATTAGCAAAACAATTGATGATCAATCCACAAGTTAAGTGTTGCACTGAAACGCATTTTGAGCTAACCCTCTTCGCCATGCCTCGCTGTGTTGATAAAACATGATGAACAATAAACATCTGCGCGCTGAGGCATCCAAATCAAACCTAGCATGCTGCCTGTTCAGGATCTCGTGGTAGGTCATAGCTGTTTCGCAAAGTGTTGGACACCATGAGGGTGGTTGCTTTCATTTTGGCCCTTTAAAACCATCAGAACGAGGCGCCCCATTTTGCGACAGACCCAAAGGTCTTGCTTGCACTTTAGGGGTGGTGTGCCTGTTGTTTCCCTGACAACCTAGCCTGCTCCTTATTGGGTACCTAACTTTCCCTTTAGAAACTCGCACCCTTCCGTCCGATCGGATCTCTGGGGTGCATGTCAGCGCTGGCCTTTGACTCTCAAATCGGAGCAAAAATTGGAGAGAGGAGAGATGAGAAACAGATAGAAGAAGAAGAAAACAAACAGAGAGAGAGAGAGAGAAACGAAAAGAGAAAGAGAGAGAAAGAAAGAGAGAGAGAGAGAGAGAGAGAGAGAGACGAAGAGAGAGAAAGAGAGAGCGAGAGAAAGGTTCTCTGTCAATTCACCGGGATGCTGAGAGAAAAGCCGCCAATGGGCTGGGACAGCATTTTCATCGTGAGATGGCATGTCGGCCAAAGAACGCATAAGTCACTAGCCCATGTCTCTAAAGGGCAACTGGCAACGCCTTCCTTCTGGTGTTTCAAAAGGAGTCATGAAGCCCCGAGGCCGGAGCCTCGTTTCAAACCCCGCTGAGCCGCTGGGTCAGCCCCCCAAAGTGCCCCCGAGTTCATCTCCGATTTCCCAGGCCTCAGGGTCGGCAAGGCCGGCGGCCGCTAGACCGAGCTTCGAGCCCAAAGTTCGCCGGCGAAGGTCATGCGGCGACTGCCCGAAAACGTTGGCGAGCAGCGCCTCCATTCGAATCTGCAAAAAGTTTAACTTTTAGTGGTTTAGTGGAAAACCCATTTGTTGGCAAAAAGTTAAAGTCCTAACAGCCAAGCAAAATGCACCAAAGAATATGGGACCCTTTTGGGATGTGCCGCCTGCCGCCTTTCGAAGGGGAGACCAAAAAGGGCCCCTACTTTTGACAAACCTTCAGTTTCTGGCCACTGGTTGAAACCGGGGCCGAAGCCCATGCCTTGTGAACCTCGTGATCTGGCGCCTTTCCTGGAAGTGAAGAGCAGGAACGGAGATCAGACTCATTTCTCGGAGCTTACCCACTTGCGGTAACACCTCCTTAGTTGCCTGCTTTTGCTATGACATCACTGATTGAGAAGCGCTGAATCAAGTTGCCAACGGGTCAGCTGGCAAAAGGCCCAACGGGGGGTTTGATTCCCTTCCCGTCAATCTCAACCGGCAAGCACGCAATGCTGTTTTCCACCTTAGGCAGCACCGTGGGCACGGCACTAACAAGGCGAAAGCCGGGCGCGCTGTCCATCTTTGCGGCACGAAGGCTTCACTAGCTCAGTGCATGCCTTGATTGCCAATGCGGAGGGGGGGGGGGGGCTTCAGGAGTTTTGAGCGCACAGGAAAACGAAAGGTCAGGCTGGAGTGAAATCAAGGAACAAAGCACCAAAGGATCGGATTTCTAGGACCAACACTTCCATTTGCTTAAGCCCCCCTGGAGAAAAAAAACAAACATATGTCCAGTAGCGATAGATTCCCTTTAAAATGAACAAGGGAAAAACCAAACAAGGAAATCTTAAGCAGATGGAAAAAATACGCTCCATAGTTGGTGCCTCACGTGGGTCTTGTCCATTAGTACAAAATCAAAGTTGGCTTCTTGCGTTACTGAATGCGCCTTGATTGGCTTTTACACCAAACCCCTCACTAGGCCGAGCGGGGCACATGGGGTTGGCCATCCGCTACTTAAGGTTCTCCACGGCGATGTCCTCCTGCAATGAGCGAAGCCGTGCATGACTACAAGGCCGACGAGTCATTGACTCACGGATTCGGACATCTGAAATAGAGGGTCTGCTCGCATGCACTCCAGCCTGTGGAAGAACAGCAAATGCTTGATTGATAGATTGCCGTTTTGTCCATGAACGTCGTACTTCGCCTGATTAGAAGGAACAGTCCTAGCTTTGGACCTTGATTGGACATGCTCAGCACTGTCTCTCCGATAGGGATCTTTGTTGCCGCCGCCCTATACAGATCCACAGCTTTGAGCAATATCATTTGAGCAAGAACGCCTAGTCTTAGTTCAGCTTCACTCCAGTTGGTGGTTTGGATGGCTTGGTGGTTCGGGGTGGATTCTCCAGTTGCCCTCGACACAAACATCCCCATAGCACCAATCCACACCACCAACTATGGTTTGTCTGATTATTCAAGTTGTCCAATCTGATCGTGCTCGCATCGCCAGCAACACTTCAACTAACTCCCAACAAATCTGACTTGGACAGGGCTGGGATCCCCTCATCTGCTCATCGCGGACCTCCCCATCGCTGTCCGCCTTCCCCCGCCCGGCTCCTTCGTGCCGATGTTGCAACGTCGGGAGGGGGGCCCTGCCACAGGCCAGCGCTTGAAGCCCTGGGGCGTGAAATCGCCGTGGAAGAACTTCACGATGAGCTCCGACAGCACGGTGCCCTGCACCGAACGACATGCGTTTCAACAGTCCAAGCAAAAAGAGCCAAGCAGTGCCGAAGCCAGCAACTAGAGAACCAAGACAAGCTCCAAGGAAACCAAACGCAAGTCTGCCAAGCGTGCTTCACACATTCGCATTCTTGGTCAGCGTAAGTAACTCAACAATGCAACATGCCAGCTTCCTTTTTGTTGTCCTCCTGCCTTCCCATCCAACCCTTGATCCTCACGCCTTAGGTCAGCAGGCAGTTGCAGAAGCTCTGAATGCGCGCATCGCCTGGGAGTGGACAAGCAGTCTATGGAGTCTGTGGCCGGAACTGCCGAAATGGGAAAGAGGGATGGTGTGCAGCCTCAACACGCTGCACGTGGCATTACTCTTCTTTTGCAGCTGCAGTCCTTGCTCGGTGAGCGACCTCGTCCATTTCAGCTTTCAACATTTGCAGCTCATTGCCAGGCAAGGTTCACACAACTCTTGGCCCCAGCACACGATTTGAGGCATCCTCACATCTCGAGTGGCTTCTTTGCTGCTGGTACGATCTAGACCAGCCCGAGAAAACCCAGTGGCTTGGGGCTGCCGCCACGAGAAGATCATGTCTCAAGGGTAAGTTGGACGGGCCCAAGAACTCCGAAGCCAAACACAACGCAATTTGGAAATCGGATCCAACGCGGGGTTGTAAACCCGAGCATTGATTGGCATGCCGGCTGCACCCTCTCCTGCCTGCGGGCTGACCTCAGCCGGCTGTGGGGTTGGCTTCGGAGTTGATGCACGAACCACGCCACTCAACGAGCGCCTACCAATACATTCCGGAGTTCAACCCCCTTGAAGGTAACAGAACACTTGCTTGGCACTCAGGGAAATCACATGCGAGCCGTGCAAACGGCTGGTTCTCTATGACGACTAGCAAAAAATAACGGTGGCTTCTGCTAAAAGGCATTGAATAACTGCTCGCGGTTCAGCTATAGGACCCCTTGAAACAACCATAATGCCTGTTGCCAAACAGTTGGCGTCCTGCATGGGCGGCCCGGACCCCCGACGAACAATTCCAACAATTCCATACGATGTCCTGCCTTTCGACGAAAGCGACATGTGAGGGGCATCCAGTTCAAACCGCAGATCTTCTCACAAGAAAACGCTCACCTTGGATTCGACTGCACAGCTGGACACAATGGGAGATACATATGGTCGGGAGTGGCTTTCCCTGTCTTTCGGCGAACTCAGAGAGAGCCGGCAGCCGCGGCGCGCCCCTTTTTGCACCTTGAAAGCCAGAACATCTTCGCTGAGTTGTTAGCGTTGAAATCACGGGGCTACTCCTATTCTTTGGTCCAAAAGAAACCAAATTCAACCAGGCTTGGCTCATTGACTGTTTCGTACGCTTGTCGCGAGTGTGTAAATAGGAGCGAGCCCGAGAAAGTAGCAGCACCTCAGCGGCTAAACTTCATACTGAAATAGAATGATGCAGGCGTCATCCAAAAGCCAGCATTAGGGTCAGCAGTTTACTTCTCATGGCAGTCGAGGTGTTCGTGCAATCCCTGTACATATGCACGCATTCACGTATACACACCGACGGACACACAAACATGTAAGCAAACATTGTGCACAAGAACACATAACACTAAGCACATACGCATACCAATTACATCCTCGTGTGGAATCACATGAAAGCGCGTTCGAACAAAAGGCTTTACAATGCTTCATGATTCACATCTTCTCTGAACATCAACCGATCAACCCGATCAGTACTTGCTCTTACCTGAAGGATGCTCTCAAGCTTGGACTTGAGTTAGCAGCTCTCTTCAATCCATCCATGGAAACTATGATTTCTGATTTGTGGGACTCTAGCCTGTTCGAAATCCTCGGGGCCTAATCGCAATCCGCAATCTCTAGGTCCTAGAAAAAATATTAGATAAGATTAGCCATGTTCTTACACCGATGGCTGCTCTCACACCAATGGATGACACCTGCGCGGCGCCTTCCGCGAGAAAAACATTTTGGCCGCTCAGCGCTGCTTGATCTGGCGGACGGAGGCGCTTCAAAGGGGGCGGAGCGGCGGAACTGCCGAAACCGATTCAAAATACAACTGCTTACTATGCTAGGGGAAGCTTCCCCATTCTTTCCAAAAATGCTTCTTTTCAGAAAACCATCAAACACCCAGGGGAAACAGCTGGTTTTTGAGAAGAACGATGGTTGAAAAGTATGGGGGGAATTAATCTCTAGAACTACGCTAGAACCAAAACCGATAATTTCCATTTGCTTAAGTCCCCTGGAAAAACAAATATGTCCAGAAGTGATGATTCCCTCAAACACCAACAGCAGGAAATAGAAAGCTGTGATTAAGCCAATGGAATGTAACATTTGGGCGGCAAAGCACAACTTAGTCTGATTGCAACAGCTTGTCGACTGCCTGGTTCTTGTTTCTCCAAGTGGTCAGTTTGTTGATATTCCCCCGTGCTGGCTTACCCTCTAGCAAGTAATTTGCACTGTCACATGTGGAACCAAGCAACACTTCGCTTCAGGCGCCTCACCCAATGAATGCTACCAAAGAAAGTATGCGGAAAGGCTTCTGTGGAGCCAGCAAATTTGTCACAAGACCAACATCCAGAATCAGCTGGGTTATGGCAGCCTCCGTTGAATGGAGCCTGGCGCCCGACGCCTTTTGGGGCAGAGGAGAGGCTAAGGGTGCGCATAGTGTGCATTCAACAAGTACCCCAGACTTCTATGCTTGATGCACATTTCAGCCAGCACATGCTAGCGCACACATGCACAGCAAGTCCGGCGCAAAACCTTCACAGATCGGCAATGAGGGATGCGTTCGACGTTCCTGTCAATGCATATGTTCAGGTTGCACCTGGCAGTATTCAAATAACTTGGGAGCTTGTTCAAACCGAATCCAGTTTGAGCAGGCACCTCCCAGCGACAATTTCACAACTTGAACACAAGCCATCGTCCCCGGAAATGTGCAAACACTTTCTCAAAGTGAAAGTCAGTTGGCCCAGCTTCCCCTTCGCCTGCCTGGGGGCCGCCGAAAGTCTTGTCGATGTTGGCCAGGGCAGTGTCCCAGTTCACCTCATGCTTGCACGTAGCGCACTAGCACCAAAGGCCATGTCAGAACTAACCCCCCTTGGCAAACACATGACTGGCTGACTAGAAGCGCACAAAAAAAAAGAGGTTTAAACGATACGCAAGCGCTTCCAAGGCCAGCCAATCTCCAACCATGAGATCATCGGCCACTTGATGATCATAAGCATAGCAGTGGTGACAGGTTGCTCGTGACAACATCACCTCCATCAGTCACCACCACTCCAGAAACGCATACTGCCACAGAGGTCCCCAAACCACAAACAATGCCAAGCATCTGCCAAGTGGTTGAAGCGGTTCGAGTTTCGTGTTCTTTCGGGGCAAAGGGCCGTGCTCATAGGTGTCCTTTTAGGTTGGAAATAGATGGGCTTCCCTGGCCCTGGTAGATGAATAATTAACCACCAGGTAAACCAGGACTCGCCATCTATTTTTGTTCCACTAAAACCACCAGAAAGGACACCTACAGTGGATGGACGAAATCCTCTTAGGCACCACCTAAGCAACCATGGTTGAAACAGAAACCAGGGTTTCCCATGGCCGTGCTCTTCGTCCCTTCGTCGCCTTGGAGAAGAGCTCCTCCACGTTGCTCTGCTTGGCCACCAGCAGCGCGCGCTTGCCGTAGGGCACCGACTTGAAGAGCTCCACGGCGAGGCCTGGCCATACGGATGCCATGGGGCTGCATGGTTGACGTTGGGTTTGGGGAGCAATTGTGTTTTATTTTTTGGAAGTTAAGTGGTTGGAGTTCAACCACTACAAGAAGCCAAAATGCTAGAAATGTTTCCCAACAACCTATGGGTCAAAATTAAACCACCAGGACATGGACCGCAGGCTTTAGTCCTTGGTTCCATTTACCAGGGCAAACCATTTTGGGCACCTATTTTTGACCCACAGCCATGTGGCCATGTCAACACTCAGTTGCCCAAAATCCAGAACCAATTCTCCCCCCAAACAGATCCGAGTTGACGGCCGTTTTCTCATGAGCAGTTGACTAAACTCAACCAAAGGGCCCAGAAATCAAGGATTAACCTTTTGGGACCTTTACTAAGAATAGACCAAACTTGGAAAACCAAAAGGTTAAAAGGTCGCTTTGCTTTGGGTAACTGAGAGAAACAAACAATTCGAATCACTGACCTGCAACCCTCTCGCAATGCTTCACAGTGGCTGGAAACACAAAAGTAAATCAGCAATGCTTGGTTCTAGAATGTTGCACTGGAAAAGGAAATGCGCAACTATCAAGGGATGTCACTGAAGAAGCCAAAAACAACGGCATATGCAAAGGATACCCACAAATGATTGCTTGTATTGCTTCTATCTGGTGCCATCGGTGGCTGCGACAAATGCGTGCTACACAGCTGTTGATGTGCATGATTCGGTGGATGGCGGGTTGTCAATTGCCTTGGTACCCCAAAATCCTTAAACTATCTACTTTTGCAAGGATGGCCTGACCCTGGAAACGTGGGTTGGCATGTCGCATGTGTTTGACCCTTGCGGCGATGGCTGACTTGCTGAGTTGATTGGACTAGATTAAACTGCCTGGGCTCTGGACAAAATGATCAGGGACAAACCCAGTCCGAAAGCAAGTGTTTGCCGACTGCACGAAAGGGTGCCGTCATCTGTGCTCCTTGCGAACAAACTACCCGAACCCAACAAAATATCGTCCACGTTTGTTTTGCACAAGGACGGGTAGCATTGATTGGTCATTGATTGGTCCACATTGGTGCAGCAGATCGGCTTGAGTGTGAGCCACTAGTGCAAAAGCCTTGGCTATCCCAACACATAGATTTACTCGTCTCCCACCTCCAGGGCTCATCTCGGCCGCCAGCCAGACCCAGCCCTTGCCATCATCCACCACCTTCTGCGTCTCATCCACGCCGTAGCCCACGCCGGCCTTGGTCACGAACCTGGGATAGGCGTGCGGGTTCACAGACGTCAGGAACCCTCACATCGGATGGTTGCTGATGGTTACTCAGGTCCTTTTCCGAGGCATCAAATCTCTGGCATATCTAGGTAAGCAGGATGCTTCACCATGGCACAAGCGCCTGGAAAATGGTGATGTGATAGTGCGGAACTTGCCAAAACCCCAAAGTCCAAACCCTCATCCGACTCTGCTTGCTCAAACCCGAAATTTAAACACTCCTTTGAGGCTTTGCACCGTGGCCTTCAAGGACAATCCCTGGTGCCTTCCTCTTCAGAGAAAGCGGCATGGGGTTCGCCATCTGCTGCTTCAATTTCTCCACGCCAACGGCGATGTCCTGAACATTTGCGGGTGTGGCCTGTGCCCTTTGGCGGTGTGCCCTCTCCTCCTCTCACCCCCGGCCGCGCCTTCTTGCCGATGTTGCCAGGAGGAGGGCCCTTCCACAGGCCAGAGTAGCGCTGAAAGCCCTGGGGCGTGAACTCGCCGTGGAAGAACTTCACAATGAGCTCCGAGAGCACGGTGCCCTATGCGCCATCAATAGCTCAGCAACAAGTGACAAGCAAATCACGCAACAGGCAGCTCTGTTGGTAAGCCAACAGCGGCAAACATTGCAACCTTGCGTGATTGTCAGCAACGCAAGCACATGTCAAATCCGACGTCGGCAACAACTTTGTTGCGATGTGTTGCGTGTCGCCTTGGCAGGGTCGCCGCCGCTGCCGGTCAGCAGGGATTGATAGAAGGCCTCGATGTCTGCATCACCTGTGCTCGAGGGAACGAACTTTCACTCGACGATCCAATTGCTTGGATCTGAAACTTAGCACCCGCATGCTTCAAGTAGACCATAGAATCATTGGGCTGTTGGATACTGCAGATCATCTTTGAAACGAAGCCTCCAATGCCCACATGAGCACGACATGATCTGGTTGGAATCTTACCATGCAACACCCCCGGCATCAAATCCGAGGCACACTACTGGGGTACCCACACTACTGAGGTACCCATCCTAAGATAGTTTGGGCCTTTTTGGGGCAACACACATGTTATTGTTTGGCGGCCCCTCCTTCCGGCTTGAAGTGTCCAAGAATATGGACTTGCGGTTGAGGAAGTGTAGATTGGCTGGGTCCTGGTTTCTTGGTTCAAAAGGGGCCCCGAAGGCAACTGGTGCTGGAGTCAGCGGGGAAGGGTGCGGATTTATGTTGGGATTTGTTTTCGTTGTTTTTTCTTTTCTTTTTTTTCTGGGCCAGTAAAATGCGGTATTTTACAGCATGTTCGCGCGAAATTGACGCATTTTACACAAGCCCGTCAACATCCCCAGCATCGTTTTCAACATCCGCCGCATGTCCGACCAACATCCCTAGCATCACCAACAAATCGTGGGTAACAAAATCAAAAAAGTAGCTGGCGGGTTGACGGGGTCAAAAAACTGATGATTCAAATAGGAGGGCATTTCAATCCCTGTAAAAAAAAGTAGCGGCGGGGTTGGGGGGGCGGCAGCCCCCCCCCATAGTGTTCGAAGAATTGATGATTCAAACACTTCTTCAAACATCATGGGGGGGGCTGCCGCCTCCCCCCCGCTACTTTTTGGATCTATCTTGCAGAGATTGAATTGCACCCCTAGTTCAATCATCACTTTTCGCAAGAAAATGCTGCAAAATACGACATTTTAGGTATTCTGTGTAATCCATGTGTGTCTGTATGTACTTCTTCGAACATCATAGGGGAAGCCACCCCCGCCAACCCTCCCGCTGCCTTTTAAATTCTATCGTACCCTTTCTTGAATCATTGCACCCCTACTTGAATCATCACTTCTTCCGACATCTTGGGGGGGGTGCCGCCCCCCCCAACCTCCCCGCTACGTTTTAGATTTTCTACAGAGATTTAATTAATTGTAAGTGTAGTGATTCAAATAGGGTGTAATTACTCTGCAAGCAATCTCAACAGTAGCGGGTGGGTTGCGGGGGAGGCTTCCCCCCCCATGATGTTCGAAGAAGTGATGATTCAAATAGGGAGGAACTGGTGATGCTGTCCAAAAACCATGAAAGGGTGCAAAAGCCAAAAAGCGCGTACAGGAACTGGGAAAGCAGAGGATGCAACAAGCTAAGCCGCCAAAAGCCGCACAAACCAGCAAAAAGCCAAAAGCCAAAATGCCACCTGCCGAAGAGGAACTGGGAATGCAAAGGATGCGAAGGCCAAAGCCAAGAAGCCGAAAACCCAGAAGCTGAGAAGCCAAAAAGCCAAGAAGCCAAGAAGCCGAAAAGCCAAGAAGCCAAAAAGCCAAGAAGCCAAGAAGCCAAGAAGCCAAAAGCCAAGAAGCCAAAAAGCCAAGAAGCCAAGAAGCCAAGAAGCCAGAAGCCAAGAAGCCAAAAAGCCAAGAAGCCAAGAAGCCAAGAAGCCAAAAGCCAAGAAGCCAAAAAGCCAAGAAGCCAAGAAGCCAAAAGCCAAGAAGCTAAAAGCGGAAAAAAAAAAAAAAAAAAACATATCCTAAAATAAATACCCCTACGCGGGGAAATCGCTAGTTTGGTCTTGGGGACGTTGGGCTTTTGGAAAGCAAGGGTTGCGAGTAGGGAGGCCTTCGTATTGGGGGAAGGGATTGTTTGGTACGCTTGTGTGTCGTTGGACACCAGCAGCCGAGAGAGAGAGAGAGAGACAGAGAAAGAGAGAGAATCACAAATTCATGCCAGCAATGCTCAAAACTCCTTATGTTGGAAGGGGCGGCATATTGCAATGGCATTCACAAATTCTCCGACTCCCGGGACAATGTCAAAGCTATCGCTTCAAACGCAGTTGCTTGTGTGTTCGTTGAACAGATCAACAGAAAACTACAGGCGAGCCAATGTCGAGGTTGCTATGCTTCTCTAGCAAATATTGAAACGCATGGATTGAAATGGCTATAAGACCATACTTCCTGTAGGAGGATGGTCTGCTCTGCAAGCGTATCTCCTGCCAGCTTGCGACCCCAACAAACTCAAAGAGAGATTCTGCACACCCGGGATGCCATCAAAAGGGAGGCCCACCAGCGATATGATCCGCTTGTCAGAAAGGCAAGTGAGCAGCGCCCAAACCAATTGACTTCTGTTTTACAAATTACACAGATGTTTCTACAGGTGTATATAGGCCGTACTATACCCTACTATGTTCACCGCTTGGTCGACTCCAAAGGTGATCCACTCCATGATCATGATCTTGTTGCTGTGGCTTCGTGTGTCGACCATGGTGAATGGCGAGATTGTCCACCAGCCTACCACTCAGCTCTCTACACATGCCATGCTGGCACATGAGAAAAAAGCGCCCGCTCAAAAACACGCGGTCAGCACTGCACACATGCCTGCCAAGTGACAAGCACACCTGCTCAAGAGCACACGCTCAGCGCTGCGCACATGCCTGCCAAGTGATCAGCACACCCGCTCAAGAGCAAACGCGCATGCCTGCCAAATGATAAGCGCACCCGCTCAAGAGCACATCACTGCACACATGCCTGCCTAATGATAAACACACCCGCTCAAGAGCACATGCTGAGCACTGCACACATGCCTGCCATGATAAGCACACCCGCTCAAGAGCGTACGCTCAGCACTGCGCACATGCGAGCGCTTACCGCATGCCTGCCAAATGATAAGGACACATGAAAAGCGCACACGCTCAAGAGCGCGCAAACAGCGATACCTCACTGCCGCTTTGCTTCTGCATGCCTCCACACGATGTCCTGGACGTTGGCATGCTAGGGCCAATGTAGGAGCCATGACTGCCGGGGTTTAGCTGCAGCTATTTCAAGTCATGCTTTACGAGTTAGTTGGTCCAAGCCTCTGAAAGATTCATTTTGCCAGCAGACTCCAAACTGCGCACATCCAAAATGCGCTGCGGGCGGGTACCCACCCGATGCGTACAAAAATGGCCATTGGCAGCCTGCTCAAGTGGATCCTATCCATCGACCCTTCCCTACTCATTGGGAGTAGTGTTTCTCAACAGATTGTCCAAATTGGTTCAATGTATTAACTCTACTGTATGCTGTTGTCATTGAACCCTCTGTTGGTTTTGTCATTGGTCTGCTCGTGGCAAGCCGCCCGATGTATCAAAATAACAATCCTTTCAACCTGCCAGCCATATGTAGCATCAGCCACAAAAAGGCATGATTCTGCTTGGGGCAGTCTGCTATTGGAGCTCTTGGTCGGATATCCCCGTAAATCATCTCACCGCTTTTCCTCGAGGGTGCGCCGGTTCCGCCCAAAGCAAACAGTTCGACCTATGGTTGCTGCCCCAGCCGCTGATGTCGTACTCTCCGCCGCCGCGGGCCCGCAGCGCCACGTGGTGAGGCTTGGCGGTCCTAGAGTTGAACGCAGGTTAGAAGGGTTTGCCACAAATTGCGTCCTGCTCATATGCCTCTATCAAGTGGCAGGCACAAGACACAACCTATATTCCTCCCAACCTATTTAGTGGTATGCACAGCCACAATTCCAGATCCTCGGCAACAAAGGCTGATTCAAGATGTTCATCCACCAATGTGGCTGGCCCACATAAAGTAAGCACTCAAGTATCTCTGAAGCATTGGAAGATGTCGACAGTAACAGCTTTATGTTATGTGTGTGCGAAGCCGTGAAGCAAACTCCCGCCCAAGCATGTGGCTTTGTTCTTTCTTGTTCCTTCGATCCGCAGCACATTGAAATCCTTATCGCACCTGACTCAATAAGACATGCAAATGAGTCAACATGAATATTCCGCTAAGTAACAATGAGTCACGTAGGCTCTAACTGATCACTATGCCATAAGCTAAACCTAAACAAGCCAAACCAAACCTCCCAACCAAACCAAATAGACCCCCAAGCCAACTCTAAATTCTAAGACCAGCCCAAGTCCTCCACCATTCTCGCAAAATGCATTTTGGGAACGGTGGAAGCCTCAGCCCCTAGATTCGAACTTCAAGCGAGCAGTGCCTGCAGCACTGAAAAAAATTAAAATCCATCTGCTCCGAGGCGCGGCGGATGCACGGAGGGCGCATTCGCCCCCAGGAAGCAGCGGGTCAGGGTGAAGGCCCCGAGGGCCAGCAGGCCAGACCTGTTGTCTCAAGTCCACTTTGAACATCGACTTGGCCATGGGTCAAAAGCCAACCCGGTTACCCAGTGAACATCAACCAATCCAACCACTAAAATTGGAAGCCTAAAATGGGTGGTGAATTCACCTACCCCAAATGGGATCCCATTAGTTTTGACCCACAGCCATTTCAGTGAGAATCCTGGTTGGCATCAACGATGTCAAGCTCAGTCGGCCTCAAACGACCTCAAACAGCATTGTGACGCAATGCGCTCTTGTGGTTGTAAAAGAGTTCTACGCATGACATCATGAGGCTCATTGCCCTACAATGACAACAGAACACCATACAAGGCAATTGGAATGACGGTCACCAAACTCCGACGAACTTGAAATCTTCAGATGGCTGACCGACGGACCTTTTCCCTGGTCTTTTTTCAAATGAAGTCGTGCACATGCAATGCCTCCAGAATCACCACGTGTGCGCAAGGCTGCGCTCCTTTGGATCTATGTTTCACCGCTCCAACTAGGTTGTCCCTTGCTTATCTAGGGAAACATGTTTGAGGGATACAGGAAAGGAAAGCTCATCTGTCCTTACGACTGGCCGCTCGAACACAAACTTCATTTGGGGCATTGCCTTGGACCAGACACCTGTGCTTCTAGCACCCTTCAAATTGGCCCCCTTTTCTGGCACTGAACTAACTTGGGCTTGAGGCCTTACAAGTCCTACAAGCTGGGAGTCGACGTGAGCAGCCAAGTTACACCAACAGGCGATTGGATGCGCGCGGCATGGCGAACAATTCGGCACGGGCTTGAGCTGAAAAACTGGGTCGACGTGCCAAAGGTACAGCTCACGCGATTCACGAAACATGTTGCACATGTTAGCCACTCAAGCGATCTGTTCGACACTTTTAGACATGCTGAGCGCTCCGCTGAAAGCACTACAGTGTCTATCTGTGAGGCACGACAAGCAGGGTACCTATTTGATGCAGGGCAGGTCCATTCAAACTTGACACAACAGTATTGTATGCAAAACATTTATCTTTCTGTGGTGGTTTGGATTCAGATGGTTTGCCTCCTTCCACCCCACTGCAACCCGGATTCTACTTCTTGAAGGGATCGTCTTCCATGGACGTTGGAAGTGTAGTCCCGCAAAGTTCCAACACCAACCTGGAGAGTCTGCCCGGGCACCAGGCAGGTGACGATGCCCTTGGATGCGACTTGCTCCACTGGACAGGGGTTGTGAACACCCAGGAGAGGCGCCTATGGCGGACATCGTTTGCTCGCAGGCGAAGTTACTTGCACAGAATCTTGAAATCAAAAGAAGTCATATGTCTAAACAAGACCAATACAATGAGGCGGGGTGGGTTGGGGGTAGTACCAGCACTCAGGAAGGCAGCTAAACTGTCATGAAGGATATCTAAAACGCTTCATGTATTCAAACTGCAAATCTCGATGTCATGTTTGGACAGGCATGTGAACAACACTTGCAGAAGCAAGGCTTGTCAGAACCTTCCCGGGGGTGGAGCAAAATCACAAGCTGCTACCCACAGACCAGACTTCCACGCGATGTGGTCCGTTGGCGAGCCAACAGGCAAATGTGGAAAAGTGGACTGGAATTTCAGATAAAGCGAGGCTCCCAGTCGAGGCATGCAATCGGGTTCCTTCCCACCAGGTGCAAACACAGCCCACTTTGAATGTTCAATGCGCCAAGTGTGCAGCAAAGGCTCTGCACCTGAAATTGGACGTTTTGCAAACCCAATCAGAATGAGAGGGCACTTCTTCAAGGTGCCTTTCAGAGAAGACACCAAAGGGGTCACATGACAAACCGGGCACCTGACACACCTGGCTTCAGCACCCCTGGCATGGTTGCAAAAGAAACTTTGCCTTTTTGCAGCCGAATGAAAATGAACAGAACCAACGACCAAAAACTTGCCAAGAACCGGAACATGTGTGGTGTTTTTCGCCTTGTGAAAATGCACCATCCCGTGCAATTTAGATGGTGACGGTTGGCACGAACAAATACCATACAACACCCAGGGACCCACTCGTACTGAAAAGGCAGAGGAGACCTGATTGAGACAATGGCTGTGCTGTCAGAATTGGTCACATCGGTAAAGGGTCGGCCTTAGGCTGCGGGTTTTCCAACACACCGCAAGGACGGGGTGCCCTAATACCCAGCCCCGATGGGGGAACTCTAATGGAGCACACTGTTCCTGGCAAATGGAGGTAAAACTTCACGAAGTTCCATTGAAAATCCACTCCCAACCACATAAACCACGTATGCAGCTAATATCTGGAAGTTATGTATTCGAATCTCCCATGTGGGCTCCCAGTCACTGACGGGCGTTGATGCAGGTGGGAGACCCCGTTCACAAATGTGTTTCATGCTGCAATATGCATGGTAAGGGGACTCAGCGGGGGGGGGGGGGGGGGCAGTGGTTGGAATGTAGAAACCTCACTTGATTCCTGAATGTTACGCCCAAACAACTGCTCAAACACGTGAAACAAACGCTCGCTCGCTTCACAGGAACCATTGTTTTCTCCTGCGTGAAGGGTCAGAGCTCAAAACGTGAAACAAATCCATGGGCCAGCTATGGAGTTGCAGGGTCTTGGCAGGCTCGAAACTTTCAAAGTTGCATCACGTGAGTGCTTCGTGAAAATTTGGGGCAAATGAACCATCAATTGCGATTTTCGCGCGAGGGCTGCGGAAAGAACTCCCAACCTCACTGACGTTGGCAAGTTGCAAGTACATTTGCCCTGCTTCTGCGGTTTGCGCTTGAAGTATCGACTTAGATATTCGATTGATACAGCCTATTACAGCCTAACACCAAAAAGATTCGGCTCAAGTCGACCTCCGATTCTTGGAACTGGAAAGCTGAGAATTCTTCGAAAAACCAGGCGACAGCCCTTGCAGCCCATCCGTTATGATGTGAGCCTAGGCGCACCAAGAGCCAGTTGCGCGCCATGGCTGCGTCTTTGACGCGAGAGGCCAAGAAACGAAAGAAGCTGGAGCGCGGCATGCGCGGATCGAACTGCTTGGAAGCCCAACTGCACTGCATCACTCAGGCTAGCTGTGAGCTTATTCCTGCGTCCCAACCTATCCTCAGAGGCCCACCGCCTCTGCACTCGCGGCTGGCACGCACTTTGGCTACGTCCACAGCTCCCGCGGCACTTTGGCCGGGAAAAGGTCGTCCGCGCAGCTTCGGCGCACAACCGAAGGAGTTCTTTGTTCTTCGCAAACCGGTCAAGGGTACAGCCCCGCAGGTTGTCGAAACAAGTCTGTTTTGTTTGCCGGATTTTTGTATGAAAAACACCGCTGCTGCATGTGTATGTTCAGCTTTTACTAGGGACTCCAGCAGAGAGGTTAGAATAAGGGTGCCCTTTTTCTGTAGTCTATTTTAGTATAGGGGAACCCTCCCCCAAAAAGAAACGGTAAAAGGGCACCTAGCTGGGGGACCTAGTTCATCTTCTGTCTTCTGCTTGTCGTGATCACTGGCAGTTGCGACTAACCGCCTGGAGGTACTCTTCCAGCTCCTGAATTGCTTGGCGCTCGGTGTCAAATGGGCGCGTCTCAAGATAGGGCCCTCTCAAACCGGACTCGGTTGCTTTCTGCTCCCCTGCTAAAAGTTTAACTTTTATAGTGGTTTAATGGAAAACCAATAGTTGGCAAAAAGCTCAAGTCCTAACATCCAAGCAAAATGCAACAAAGTGGATGCGTGTCCTTGATTTCCCTTTAAACTGCTCAAAACATGCACGCCCACGCAACTTCCGGGAGATTCCTGATATGGTGCCTACACACTTCCTGAGTCCGCAAGTGTGTTGCAAGTTCACCAAATGAACCAGCGCTTGGGCGAAGTTGCAAGAGGGGGATCCACACCAAATCCGACAGGCGCGCCCCAAGAAAGTGATCTGGATCGCTGGGGACAATCTGGATCCACATCCACAACGCGCACTTCCGACGAGTTGTGTCAAACCATGCTGAATCACAGTGTATCTCGAGTGGATTGGCCAAAATAAGTCGATATGTTCTGTTTACCACCTACGTGGTCTTCCGGGGAAAGCAAAAGTATAGAGCTCAATAGAGTTCAACTCAGGGAGGGAGATATTTGGTCAAGATTCTCTCCAGATTCAAGCAGCAACCTTGGCACCGAAGAAATTGCATCGCTCAGCTGGCTCTGAACACGTGAGATCTTGCCGTGCGGTTCTAGGATGAATGTTGCGGGAGACGTACCTGGAGGGTGTTGAAAGGAAGGCTTCTTCCACGATCAGATGGATTGGCAATCCCTAGTAAAACTCCAAGTCTGCGGAGTAGTCAGGTGTGCAAAGACAATTAAAACAACTGGATCTTCGACCTCGGAACCCCCCAAACAAACAACTCGGCAACCATATGCCTGGAAACCAAGTAGACATAGACGCACCCTTTTGCACAGGGGACTCCTCGTTTCCGACCTGTCCAAAATACCTCCACTTCAGAGTTTAAACTGTTGGGGTCTTGACAAAATTGGCCATAGAGAGAGAGAGAGAAAGAGAGAGAGAGAGAGAGAGAGAGAGAGAGAGAGCGAGAGAGCGAGAGAGCGAGAGCGAGAGCGAGAGCGAGCGAGCGAGAGAGAGAGAGAGAGAGAAAGAAAGAAAGAAAGAAAGAGAGAGAGAGAGAGAGATCCACTCACAACTCTTGGTCACCATCTCATTCGGCCACACCTGGTGTGCTTGCATGGGTGGGCGGGCGGGCGGGCGTGGGTGGGTAGTGGGTGGTTGCACTGTTTGTCTGTGCCCATTTTGGCCGTGTCTCGGCATCGCCCCTATCGCCCCAGCCTGGAGGCTTGGCGGGCAGCTAATATTGCGCAGGCCCATGCGTTCCGCCAGCCTCGGCTCGAGGCGACGAAGCACTTGCGTCGAAGGACATCCACACATTTCACCCGAGGCGAGGGTGCCAAACCCGATCGCACATACGACTCATGCGCAACATGCACCGAGTGCTGGCCATGGATCAAAAGCCAAATCGTACCCCCAGTGAACATCAACCAATCCCCACTAAAATAAAAAACCTAAAATGGGTGGCGAATTCACCTGCCAACCAAAATGGTATCCCATTGGTTTTGACCCACAGCCTGGTACAGCGAGAGCCTCGGAACAATCCCAGACGCTTTGAGACCACTCCTGCAATTCAAGTTGCAATGGGCTCGAGCTCCCATCGGGGAAGATGACCTGAAACCGGGCCTCGGTCAGTGTCCCATGAGTCCATGTTGCCAGATGTCAGCCATTCAGGAATGCTTTGCCATGGGTCTTTGTCAATGGATATCGACCCTCAATTGACCTGGAAGCGAATGTGGAAGGGGGTCGCACCTGGATTCTATTTGACATTGTATCTTTGATTCTCGATCAAGACTGGCAGCAACCCACGGTGCACCTTTTCCAGCGCGGGCCGGTGTGGCCTCCAGTGAATCTCCGCTGCGGACCGGCTCTGTGGCGGGCCGGCAGTGGCTCCTCGGCCGGCGAAGGCCTAGGTGCCTGTACGGGCTACTGCCCTCAGTCTTCAGCCAAATGGCTCAAGGCGCCTCTGCATCAAGGGCGTTCTCACACTCCTTGTTTTTCTTTTCGCCTTCTTCTCCTTGACCTGCTGGTTCTCTGCGGTCTGCACCAGCGAGATCACGCCATCCTTCAAGTAGTCCAGCGCCACGGTCTTATCTGCTTTCTCCTTCGTGAGGATGTCCGCCAGGTTCTGCTGCCCGTCAATCCACCTCACTTGAGCTCGTGGTCGGCGAATGGTTTCTCGCAAAAGCGCCCCTTCAATGGCCATCCGCTTGTCGGACGAAGTCGAAGTGGCGTCCTTGCGCAGATAGTCGTACACCGACTTGGCGTCCGTGACGTAGACACGTTACCGACCAGTTTCTCAAGTCCAGTTTGCCGCACAATGCCTCCTCCAACAGCACGATGGCCCAGTCTCCAGCTTCCACCGCCTCTTTCATGAAAGGTGGCTCGCCTCCGCTGCCAACGTGCTCCGGCAAACCGTCTTGGTCTGGCTGCTGTGGAAGCCGATGATGTTGGCTCTCACAGCCTCTCCATGAAGCAAACCTTTATTGGCCACCATCAGGAAGTAGCCACCCACGGATTTAAACCGCCGCTCGATGCCGTTGTGCGAAGGTGTTCCGTTTGCATGTCCGGAGTCTGCGAGGTGGACGAAGACACCGTTCTCCAAGTCCACATCGCTCCAAAACCTCCAGCGAAAATCCGCGCTCCTCCGGGCTGTCCCGATTGCGGACTTGACCTTCACCAACTCCTTCACTCTCGGGTCCTTCTTGCACCTCTGCACGCATCCGTTCTCAAATGCCAAGCAGCGCTGTTCCAGTTGTTCCTGTCTGGCACGGCTGATCGTGACCTTCTGCATGAACAGCGCGTAGTTGCGCATGGTCACGTCGATGTGCCCACAAACTCCATCCTTCACCTGCTGCCGGATTTCTCTTCCGCGAAAGGTGAAGTTGTGCTCATGGCAGGTGGCAAAGTCCAGGGCCAGTGAGGACTTCTGGAACGCTTTCTTCAAGTACTGCTCCTTGACACCGCCCGGTCGTCGACGTGTGTCACCAAAATTCCGCATAGCACTCCCTGCGGTCTCCATCTTCCATTTTCTCATCGAGTTCGGGGTTGAACTCCTCCCCCGACTCACCAGCGTACCCAGCAGGTTCCCGAAGCTTGCCCTGCTGAAACGCCACAAAGTCCAGCACCATGCTCCTCTTGATGGCACCGCAGATCGCCAGGCATAGCTCCATCGGGTAGACTGCCGCCTCTTTGGATCGGCGGTCACTGACAATGACATTGTCGGGCCACCGCGTCCAGGACCAACTCGTTGTTCGACAGCCACCCTGTTCGCTTCCTCGCCGGCTGACCTGTCTTCCCAATTTCGTAGGCGCGCTGGTCGCCATAGGTAAACGCCGTTGGCGGTGTCCAGGAGCCTCATGAGGATGCCCTCGAAGACCCAACTCAAAGCTCCTCCGGGGTTGTCCAGCAAGTAGTAGCGACCCAGCTGGTGTAGTGCATACGGGTGTTGAACATGAGGTTCCTGCCCGTCGACGATAGCAAGTCGTACCCATCCAGGATGTCCATGGCTTGGCTGCAGGTCCAACCAAATTGTGAACTCGTAGCCATCCAGGTGACCGGAAAGACGCCGGCATAGGGCTCAAAGACCACCATGTACTTGAAGTCATTCGTGCACATCTCATCAAGAAGGAGAAGGAGAGAACTCGCTGCACGGCCTTGCCCCAAGACCGGCAAGGACGGAGCCAAGAAGTGTGGCAATGCGAAGGGAGCGGGGAAGCAGAAAGGAAAGGGTCCGCGAGCCTATGCTGTCTCCAAGACCCCGACGCCAAGGTACTTCACGGTGGATTTGGATGAGACAGATGAGGCCCAAGCCTACATGGTTGGCGAGCGCGACCCCGAGAACGAGATCGTGGAGAGCGACACCGCGGATTGGCTAGTCCTGGAGGAGAGCGACGGCGACGAGTGCACAGACAAGCGGAGGAAGAAGCGATCGCCATCGCCGGCAGCTGCAAATGAGATCCTAGTGGAGCCGGACGTGGCGAAGCTCCGCCAGCTACCCCGGGTGACAACGGTGGACACCATATGGAGAGACAAGGTTCCGCCATGTCCTGACACAGAGACTATGGAGATGGAGGAGCTGAAGAGATACTGCCGTTTCTGGGGATTCAGCGACCGCGGCATCGACCGGGAGAAGATCCGCAAGCGCATCCACATGTTCCACAATGGAGTCGGAGTGCAACGAGCTGGCTTCGACCACCGCTACGTTCGCCTGGCCGAGAGAGGCAAAGACACCAAGCGGAAACCCCTGGTGGTTGAGCAGGGAACTGGGCGCCGCAAAAAAGAAGTGTCTGGTCGAGCCGTGCGAAAAGGGCAAGATGCAATGGCATCCATGTGGAGCGCAGTGAGTTCCACGAGAGCCAGGAGACTGAGGATCACGGCGGTGCGTTTCGGAGCTTTGGAGGAGGACAGTCTGGCCGGGGTTCTCCCGGCAAGCAGGAGTGAGCCCACTCCGCAAGGGCCTGGGTGGTCGTTCACGACCATCGAGGCAAGGCATGAGAATTCAGAAAGCCATCTTTCCCTTGATGTCCAAGCCGAGCTGGCGCTGCGGGCAAATCACCAACTTGGGGAAGGTGGAGAATTAGATCAGTCTCGAGTGGCCCTATATACTCGATACCGCCTGCACATCCTGCATGCACAGCACGGCATGGAGACTTGCCTACGAGCAGCACTTGCCGGAGAATTTGAGCTGCGAGGAGACCGCGAAGACGAAGATCTTCCACTTCGCCTGCTTGCATTCTTCCAGCGTGAACTCGCCCTTGAAGAAGACCCTGCTCTTCTGCAAATCCTTCAGCTTCTTCCGCTGGTCCTTTGTATCCGCGTCTCATCTTATCCATGGTGGCGAAGGCCTCATAGATCTCGTCATCGTCGGATGCACCAACATCGCTGCCGGGATCCTCATCTCATACTGAGAGCATCCAATGATGTCCGTTGGACATCGTTTCTACAAACGACGCCGTCTGATGCCCCCTGTTGCGAATGATACACTTTGGCAGCAATTCAGCCGTGATTTGGCGAGAATTCGGCCGCGATTTGGCGAGAACAGCCGCGATTTGTAGGCCTGGCTGCGTTTATGCCGTTTGCGCAAAAAGATGTCCAACGCGCGACGTTGGATTGTCTAAGTATAGCTTCCTCTTCGTAGTCCTCATCTTCCGGTGCCTCGTCCGACTCCTGCTCATCCTCGTGCTCCACCGCATGCGCGTAGTGCCGCTTGCCACGTCCTTTCCCGTAGCCACGGCCTTTGGGATGCCCTCGGTCGTCACCGCCGCCCTTCTCCTTCTCATGCAAGTCGTGAAAGCTCACCCTCAGGGCTTGCTCAATGCCAACCTTGGTGTAGTTCGAGCGGTTGGCCAGCAAGATGTTCCGGCGGGCTTCGCCCACATATGCTAAATCGTGGTCATGTATGCTACACACGTGCCAGCCAGGGAAAAATAGAGCCCTGTCGCAACAGAATATTTCTAAATGGATGTCTTTTTTGGAGGGTACCCGGTTTGAAAGGGAAACCAAAAGGAAAACCGCCATCTTGGAGCGCTCCGATTCCTACAAAGCTCAAAGCAAACGGAAACCCCAAGTGCAACGGTTCCTCACAGATCTCACAGCCTGCGGCCCCGGGCCCCATTTCGTCCATCCTCCCCTTGCCGCACCTTTCCACAGCGTGCCGCGTGGGCGCCTTTCTTGGAATCCAGCACCTCAGGGAATGAGACATGGAGACTGACCCCGAAAGTTTTTAGCCATCCCTTGCAAGTGGTTTCCTTTAAAGGGACCAAAGCGCCTGGGTTCATTCCATTTCTCATTCCCTACTTTGAGTACCTGCCACAGAAACGAAAGCAAGGATCCAAACAATTAACCTTTCCTGATGAGGCTACATGGCTTACCAATATGCAGAGAGTCAATTCTGCAACTCACTGCCCGTTCCTCATAATCCGCGCTAAACTGGCCAGTAAACCTCCCAACGCCTTCAAACGAGAAGCCGGTGATTCGCTATGCGAGCCGCAGATGCCAATCTTTCTGTCCGAAAGTATGCGTGCCGTATGCTGTTGAAAGTCATGAGAAGCTACAATGATGCAACATGCTTGGGCCCAAAAAAGGGGGCGCTTCAAAGGCATGACCGAATCAAGCGACGCTCCCAAACATGGGAACCCTGATGAGTAACTTGTTGCTTGTTCCTAGGACGTTTGAATTTAGAAACTGTGCCTCGGACACGATGAGTTATTCTCGGCGGAAATTCATTCATCTGCACCCGTTGCTCAACAAATGCGAAGCACGAAAAGCTGCCTTGCTAGCTTCCGCATTTCGGTACCCGCCATGTTTGCCATATCCTAACTCCCCACTCCGGCACTCGAGGCATCTCCTACCCAAGCGGCAACTAGGCCGTCGGGGGGGATGTCCCGCGGCTCCTGGGCAAGGTTTGGCGCCAAGAAAGCGGTTTGGCTCACTCGGACGTTTCACGTGTTCCACCCAAAGTGCTCACGGTCTGAATGTGCGTGAGGTCCTTCTTTCATCTTGTCACCCACTGTGCGCACATGTTTGCACACACAACTCCCACAACAGTGTTGACACGCTGATGAATATTGTGGTGGTGGGCAGCTGTTCCTGCCGTTAGCATGGCATGGGAGGGCTGGGGGCAAAACGTGCCTCACTCGTGGACACTGTGGACATGCCTGCTCAGAGGGTGCCACGGCAAACCGCACAACACATGCACAAGGACATGCAGGACACGGTTCGTATGTGAGCTCTGCAACTCAGCCCTGCCTTACTAGGAGCCTCAAAACCGATGAAAATGTCATACCTACCAAAAAAACACGATGTTTCTTGGGAAAACACAATGTTTTCGGGAAACACGGCATTTTCGGCTTCAAGCATTTCCCATACATTCCTTCAACTCGTCACGGGTTTCTACGGGTTTTCTACGGGTTTCAACGGGTTTTCTACGGGTTTCTGCGGTTAGCCGCCAGGATCCCGCCACATTTTCAAAAAAACAACCTCAAAAATCATAAAAACAATCTCAAAAGATCACCTGGTCTTGTTTTGCACCAAATTCCAGCACCCCCTTCAAACTGGTTCGGTATGACCTGGCGCCAGTCTTCAGGTGCCTGTTGTTGCTGTGAAGGTACTTAAAGACTGAAGCCAGCTGCGCACCCTGGCTGTCAGGCTCATCAATGTGGTCCTTAGAATTTGAAGCATACTCAGTATAGAGCGTTGCCCTCAGTTGAAATCTTAATGGGTGATGCCTGTGTGAATTCCACTCCCGACCCTTGCCTTTGACCCTTTGCTCCTAATGATTGTTTGGCCTCCCTCAGAAGCTCATTTTTAAGGGGTTTTATCAAAAACAATGTTTTTCCTGAAAACACAATGTTTTCAGAACATCGAGAAAAAACACAATGTTTTAGTCAGGGAGGCTCTTGAAGCCCCAGGTACACATACATACAACAACTCTATCCGATCCCTGTCGGCACTCGCAACAAGACCTCCAATAAAGGTTGAGATACTTTTGATGGACGAAATCCTGCGCCACCCAAGAAACCCTGGCATGATTCGATTCCCCTGTAAATACCCAGAAACGCTGGTTTCACCCATGGTTTCTTCAGCAGAACTTCCTCCATCCGCAGAAAACCAGCTTCAGGGCCATCAGCGGCCTTTGGAATCGATGCCTATCCCGGCCCCGAGGCCCCGGGGCCCGAGAAGGACTCCTCAAGGAGGGTGACGTAGGGCAGGACCTCCAGCTCCCCGAACTCGGCGCCCGCCAGCATCTGCCGCCCGCCTACGAGATCCAACCAAGTGCGCGTGGAGCCCGTCGAAGTGCCCGGCCCGCAGAAAGGAGAAAACGAGCCAAGGGGGGCTGAAATACCTTAAACACATGTACAGGGCTCCCTATATTTAAAACACCACCCCCATCAAAAAAGACAACCACCCCCTTTCATTTGCCTGAAAGGTGATGTTTAAAACCACCGAACAGGGAAATATAGGGACCTCTGGCACATCCATAGAGGAACCAGCCGTGCACGTTGATCCCAGCTCTGTTTCGAGTGGCCTTGCAAATGTCTCATGTGACAATTAGCTCAACCTCGCGGAAGCCGCGCAGAAAAAAGAAAGAAAAAAAAACGCGAGTCGTACCTTCGGCCCTTTTCAGCTCGAAACCAGACCATTGCTCAAATGAAGCTTGGGGTCCCCTGAAAGCAAACTACCAGCTGGAGATGATGTTTATCTCGGGCTCGGACTCCATTTCCCATTCCCTTATCGCCCCTGATGTCCTCCAGTAGAGAGGTTAGAATAAGGGTACCCTTTTTTTCTGTAGTCTATTTTAGGGGAGCCCTCCCCCAAAAAAGGGGAGAGAAGGGCAGCTAGGGGGACCCATGGCGTTTGTTTCGGGCCCAGACTTCCCATCTGGCCATGGGTCAAAACCCAAATCGTACCCCCAGTGAACATCGCAATCCCCACCAAAATAGGTTCTAAAATGGGTGGTGAATTCACCAACCCCAAAATGGGATCCCATTGGTTTTGACAACCACGGCCATCTCTCGCAGCGATTTTCCAGGCCTTGGAACTTCACCAGCGCCCGATCCGTCTCCTCCACGCGGCACACCACCCCCAGAGCTCCTGCCGGCACCTCACACGAAACCCGCGCCGGAAAACTCGGCTCGGTTCGAACCTCTGGCGTTGGGATGCAAAAGGTTTTCCCGGAACCTGGGGGCAAAAGGGGTCAATTCCGAACCTTGAAATGAACCGATTTCATGGTGCGAACATTGCACATCGGATGAAATCACTCCATCTGGTTGCTGCCGGCACCTTCCCTCAAAAGAAAAGCTGTGCGCGCAGGTCTTTACGCGAAACGCTGAGGGCAGCCGGTTGCCACCCCTCCGTCAAAAAGGGCGAGTTGACTGCACATTTGAGGTCGTAAAGGGCTTTTGCAATCGCGTAGACATGTGAGAGTTCTCCTTTTCAACACTGTACAACCTCCAAACAGTCCAACAGGCTCAAAAGCTGTCGCAATGCAAAGCAACAGCTTGGAGGTATGATGTATTCTGACATACCCCCACCTTGAGTTTTGCTGCGCTCTCAGCATGATGACTCAGGGGCCCTATTTTGAAACACCCCCCGTCTAACCCCCCCCCCCCCCCTGTCTACCTCCCCCCCTCCAGATAGTCTACAACTCTTGGTATGGTAGCCAAAACCTGATCTTTGCGGCCCCCCAATAAAGATGAACAGAACCAACAAAAAACAACTGGCCAAGTAAAGTGAAGCATAGGTTGGATGTACTCTCATTTGCTGGACCACAAACCACACGGAACGTGATCTCTGCCGCCAAGCTTCGCGGCCCCGCAGCTTGCCAGCATCACGCGTCCTGCCCGCAGGAATTTGTCTGGCTGGGAAGCCAAGGATCAAATACGAGAGAGGAGAAAGATTAGGTGTGTCTCAGAATAGGGGAAGCCACAAGAATGGTGGTCTGAGGGTTTTTATCATTTTAAAAATCACACCCAAAGCGAATACCCTCAACAAAAACAACGACACGCAGAGTCGATCCTTCGACGAACGAAGTTTAACCTCACGCGGTGACTCCTTAGCAGCTGCCCCCGCGACAAGCTGGGCCCAGACCAGGGCGTCAGCGCTGGCACGGCTCGGCTCCTGGCCTGCAGCGCAAAGGGCCTCGCGGGCGCTGTTGCCACGCAACCGTCCATCAGTCATAATCAAAACACCATATAAAGAATTAAGAAGGCGGATATCCGCAGCTATGTATGGTTGAGATTCTCCCTTACTAACCTTCATCTACCCGGTTTTGATTGTGGCTCCCATGGGCCCTGGGGGGGGGGGGAAGGGGAAGGAACACCTTTGCATCTGAGGCACCTCTAGGACGAGTTGGTTGTGTTTGACCTATGTTGGTGGTACTTCAGTCGTCTGAATCATGTCCAATGGTCTTTAAACGTTGTCTTTGCCGGGCACTGGTCTCTTGGTGTGAGCTCAAACTCCCGGGTAGGGCGTCTCAATTGTTTATGCTCAGAGCATTTGTTGGACACAGCCAGGCATAGCCGAGGCTTGTATGACGTTCCTGAGCCATCCTCGTGCTCCTTGCTTCAAAGCAAAAACGCGAAAATGCCTGTCCTGTTCCGCTCATTGATGGTGTCGCTGTTTTCACCCTTATGTGTTCCCGACTTTTGAAGCACGCTTCCAGACCTTGAACCCTTGCAGGGATCCGTACACTCTACACCTGAACATTGCCTTGTACATGGCGGTGTCCTTTTATTTGGGTGGAAAAAGCCATGTTTCAAATGGGCAAAATGTATTTTTTAAGGAGCCCGGTGATTGCAAAGCATGAACATCATGAAGCAAGACACGCATCGGAGATGGAACAAAGTGCGCCGAACCTCCCTAAATTACCGTCGCTTTTGGGGGAATGTCGAGCATGAATCATGGTTCTTATTTGTTTGGGCGCACGTCCTTGCCGGCCTCAATACCAGGTCATTGTAGTCTCCTGGAAAAAGAGTTGACAGCTTTGCAACACTACTATTTGGGTGTCTCCTTTTCGGTGACCGCACAAAGTGGTTTCCCTTTGGGCTTCTTATGCAAAGCACCAAATCAGGGGGTGCCAACTCCAAAAACAAACGAGCCACGGATATCTGACTGGTGCGCCCGTGAACTGATACTCTTCGACGTTGGCCACGGTTCGTAGACCAAGCCACCAAGCAGCCCTGGTGGCAAAAAGAACTAACTGAAGACATCGGCTTGCAAGGACGTGTGCCCAGGTGCAGAAAGCCATCGGCCATGCGCAGCCTGCCATTCTCCTCGAAGCCGCGGACCACCTAAGCGCCCACACGCTTCCCACAGAAGGTATTCCACTCGAATGCACTTGCAGGGGCTGCGTTGCCAATATCTGAGAGCTTCTCAGGTCTTTGAGATCCTTTGCCTGCTAGATGCTTGTGTGTGAAGCTTGATTCGGCCCAAGCTGCAATCACAGAGTGGTCTTTTTTGTAGGAAAGTGCACAAATCCGCAACGCACTCCACTCGAGAGTCTCGTCCATAGGGTTGAGCCATACACCTCGCAGCCTAATCTGCCAAGCGTCGTCGCCCTCCTTGAAGTCGCCGGCGCCTGCAAAACGATTCGCAGTGTGCGGCTCGTCTTGGGGGACCAAGTTTTGTGGTTTTACGGGCAAACCAAAAGGAAAACTACCAGTTTGGGGTGGGGTCCCCTGCTTCAAGACACACACACACACATCAAGCAAAACAATTACTTGGTGGTCGAAGTACAAGTACATGGCTCAAGTCACGGCCAAGCTGTGACAGCGACCATCATGCTTCGATAGTTTGGCAGTACGAACTTGTTCATGAGGCGCTTCAAAGGTGCCAAGGGCATGGTCCTAAGGCAAATCCACATTTGACCCACACCCCTTCCTAAACTTACCTGCTCCCAGGCAGGAATGCCCCCCCTAATATGCACCCGACTTGTGTGCTTTCGACCCAAAACTGCGCACCTTCCCTCGCGAGAGGTGTGCAGCTCATCGGCTCGGAGAACTTGCAGATGCTGGGGTAGTCCTGCTTGGCGCGGCGACGCCAGGCACAGCCGTTGAGCAAGTACCTCAGACGGAAAGAAACAAATCCCGCGGATCCACCTCCTGTGCTCTGCATTGGCGAAGCAGTTTGCTTGGACTCAAAAACACCTCCACACCTGGGGAGTACCCTAGATGCTTTCTGGCCAAGGCAGAAATGCTTCAAACCCGCCTGGTGATGAAGATCCTTCCCCGGTTCCCAAGCAAAACGTCAGTTCCCAACTTTGGGGTGGCCCCCTTGGGGCCCGGGGCCAAGCCAACCACCGCCAGAGGCGCGACTTCTCCACCGCGCAGCGCGCCAGCTCGCAAACCGTCAGCACCGTTGGCGCCCGGCCCTCAAACCTCATGCGCGTGCTTCCCGTCTCTTACCCGGGAATAAGATACCGTGGATGGACAGATTCACACTGAGAGGCCATTGTTTGTTGATATCTACACGGGGATCATCATTTCAGGGTTTCTTAGGTAGTCTGTGGCGCAGTGCATTTTTTGGAATCGAAAGAACACGTCTGCGGACTTTAGGCGCGTTGACTCGCTGTCGCTGTGGTAATTGAACATCGAACGTGAACCCTATGCGGACTGTGTGGGTTGGATAGCTCTCGCTTTGGCGCTGCGAAGACTGCAAAGCCCTCTTCAGACTTTGGGCAGGTCGGATCGCTCTGGCTGTTGTGTGGTGCGAGCTTTAGACACTTTGGGCGTGTCGAACCGTGGCGCGGTGCGAATTTGGTGAACCTTCTGCAGACTTCGGGCGTCTAAATGAAATCGACATGTCAACCCTCTGCGCACCTGAGGTGGCTAGGATCGCTCTCGCTGCGGCGCGGTGCAAAAAAAAGACATCGACATCGAAGGACAGGACCTGCAAAGGTTGCCTCGCAAGAGATCTTGTTGAGAGCGCTCTTTACAGATTCTAGACAGAGAGCTCTTACGTATGCAGGATCCTCTCATCGATCTTCCACACAAATCTTGTCAAGAGATCCTCTCCAGACATTCTGCGCGCAGATCTTGCCAAGAGATGCTATCCCGAAATCTTGTCGAGATCCTGAAAAAATCCTCCCAAGGTTTCAAGACATCCTGCGCTGGTTCTTCACAGAGATCCTCTCAACAGATCTTGTGCAGGACCTGCGAAGATTTCATGTCAGGAGATCTTGTCGAGTATGCACTCTACAGATCCTGAAGAGAGAACTTGTACAGGGTTATGTTGCCAATCCTGCACACAGATTGCCCAGATATTTTATCAACACATCCTATCCACACATCCTGCAAAGATTCTTCCACGGAGATCTTGCCCAGAACGTTCTACAGATACATTCGTAGAATTTTATCGCACAGAAATCTTGTGCGGAACCTCTTTCCAGACAGCTTCTATGGGAGCTTTCAGAAGGCTTCTGTTTGAAGAGCACACGCAAGACCTTCCATAAAACCCTGTGGGGTCATTTCAGCAGATCCTGTGCAAGAGCCAGTGAGCATTATCATGGCTACTTTCATGCCACTTGCCGGAATAATGCGTTTTGTGGAAGATTCCTAAAATCATCTCTGCCAGCATGTGTTTCTTGACTGTGAGCAGGCCTCGCTAGACATTGGGTTGCTGCACTGAGCATCCACGCATGGACTGACATGAGGAATAAGTCCACAATCTTTGAAGCAACGCCGACAAGTGCAGGATTGCTTGCAACAGGCGTCTTAGCTTAAGGGAATCCAAAAAAGCGCGGTTTCCTTTTGGTTTTCCTTCGAAATAAGCCGACAAGGGTGTCGTCGACCCTCAGGTCAGCCTCCCAAGCCCGTTCCCACAGCCGCCCGACGTGCCCGAGCGGCTGCACGGTCACTTCTGCTCCGTAGCCCAGCAAAGAGCCTTGCAAGCCTGGTTCGAAAAGCGCGAAATGGATTTCGTCCATCAACACAAATGGAATCCCCGTCGAAATCCCCTCTTTTGGGGAGGGGAGGGCTGTTTTCCCGACTGTTTTTAACTCCAAAGAATTCCCAGGAAAACTGCAAAGCGAATCAAAACCCCGACAGAATTCAGCACCTGCCACGAATCAATACGTGATGTTGGCAGTTGCTCAGTGTGTGGTGCATTCCTCCATCGAGCAGGTGCAGCCCGCTCTCTGCTTTGTCAAGCATCGCTTCTATCATAGTAAGGGGTTCCTTGTGGGTAAGAAGCTGACACTGTTGATCTTCGCCTGTCAAACACTTTGCTGATTTCAGAATGGCTCTCGCCGCAGCATAGGTGCAAGCTGAGATCATCAAGCACAACATACGGGGAACAGCCATGTCCTTGCAGGTTACAGGTCGGTGGTACAACTGTTTGAATGTCGGGATGGAGATACGACAAGCCAAAGAGCTGCATGCGGAAAAGAGAGGGAAAGAAAAAACACTATATAAAATATTATATATACACACACACGTGCGAGAGTGCAACGAAACGATCGCTGGCGATTACCTTAGATACCTCGATGTTGTATACCAAACAAAGCGTCACAGCATGGGCAGGGCATTCACAGCCACCTGTGCTTTTGTGTGTGTGTTAACCTTGAGCCGCCCATACGCGGCGTGGAACTTTGAACATGTGGCTGTGAGGAACCCGCCTTTTTCCAAGTGTTCGCCAGAATCGGTGGTAAAGTTCTCCTTGACCACCACCTGCGTGCCACTCATGTCGCTTGGGCCAGGTTTTCCCGAGGCTCTACTTGGCTGCCTCTAGCTACTGTGGTCCCAGCTCCAAATATTCCGCAATGGCCACACACCCCGCCCCTGCCAGCAGTCTGACGTCCCCCAAATATTGCAAGACATCCACCAGCCTGCCTAAAATATCGACTTCGCCAAACTGCGCGGATCCGCTCGGGGCGCCTGGGTACCCAATGAGGCGGCTACCAGCGCCTCCTTTGCTTCCAATTCTTTCAGCCGCTCAGGCACGGACGTGCCCAGCACATCCACCAGGCGCCTAACGCGTCACACCAAAGGCGTCACACCAAAGGCGCCGGTTTGCGCACAACCAGAAAAAGGGGCTGCATGGGAAACTGCCTGAAAATAGCACTTCGAGATTCTGTCTACATCTGGGTGTTGGCAAACCGAAACCCACAGGGTGGGTTGTTTCCCATCCGTGTTCTGCATTGGAAGCGAGAGAGCAGGAATTTCGGAATGCGCGGTTGTATACTACTTAAAGAAGAAACAAGTTGATTTCCTTACCGCCAGAGTACCCTGCCTCCTGAGGCTAGCGTAAACCACTTGGGTCAAACGAGTACTCCTCCCAAACTGGAAATATCAGAGTCGCCCTTCATAGGCGGAATCCCCCGTTTTGCCCCCAGATAGGTGCTCAGGGCTGGAACTGGAAGGCGCAGGTGATTGGACAGGTCAGCTCATTGCACCTGTGCGATAGGAGCCTCAAGGGTCACAGCGAGTTGCTAGTCCTCCCATCAACCATTGGTTTAGCCAGACAGGACTTTGGGACTTCAAACTCGCCATGTTTGTTTGGCATGCTTTGTGCCAGCTTTGCACAGAAAGCGCCGTGGGTTCTGCGCCGTGGACGGGAGGCTGAGCCCCCAGTGCCTACCGATGGCCGAGCCTCCAAGCCAGCCCAAACTCATCTCAAGCCAATGAGCTGTCCTCGTTTCTGAGCCAGTTGGACGGTAAGTTGGGTTTGTTGTGAGGTTCGCTGGATGGTCTAAAATCACATCCATCTGCCGAAAACTTAGTAATGTCAGGATCATGCTTTGCATGGGAAGCTTGACTCTGCAGAAAGCCAGACTTAGAGATATCTTCAGTCCGGCCGGAAAAGCCAAAGACAACAAGTCACACAAATTTAGGTTTGGCCTACGACAAGCAGATTTTGGCAAGGTAGCTATGGGCTATGGGCCGTCGACATCGGATTCAACCGACTGACCGACTGGCCATGCGGCCGGGCGACCAGGCAAGGAGATTAGACCGACCAACCGGCCCGGTGACCCGAGACCCTGCCAAGGCTGGCCCTCTTAGCTTGGTGCGATAGGTAGGGAATGAGAAATGGAATGAACCCAGGAATTGCCCCCCTTCAAGGAAACCACAACATCTAGTTTTATAAGTATCATTCCATTTTTTTTCCCCCTGCATCTCTCGCACTCACAAGTTCGCTCCCAACCAGCAAAACGGGACTCGCCTGGCCACGTCCTTGTGACCCTTTTGAAGAGCCAGCTGCAGGGGCGACTGCTGCTGGTGGTCCGGCTCTTGCAGCTGCTCCTCCTGGGTGTGGGACGAAAATAGGTGCCCAAAATGGAACCCTGGTAAATGGAAACATGGGCTAAAACCTGCGTTCTCCTGGTGGTTTCATTTTGACCCATACCCCAGCTGCATAACAAACTCAAGCTGAGAACCTTCCGCGCGCGCCGAAAAAACCGATCCGCTTCCCTTCGGTGGCCTCTGAGTCGAATTGGGTTTGGTGGGCCGGTTTCAAGGGGTTCAAATCTCGTCCATTAGATGCAGCTGATGCACCCCCGTATGGCAGCATCACTACACGACGGAGCGCAGTTAGATTCCCAATAAACAAACAGCGCGCAGTATATCCATGTGTATATATATATAGTGTGTTCCTGTATATTTCTATGCTTCGAATCTTCAAACCCTTTCATTCCAAGACGAATATCTACAGACAATTTGACCGAGACAGAATCCACAGCAAGGATTCTTGTGCATCTGTCCAATCTTTCCGGCTGTTCAGGTAGCTGAGAAGGGGTCCCTTTCAGCTCTTCTGCGTAGGGTCCAAAATCAATACGGGTGTGTATTTTCTTGAGAGTACCCCCTTTTGGTGACACACTTGTGATTCATCACCATGTTCCAAGGAACATGCAGCCAGGGTCGGGCTAAACGCCTTCATGGGTTAGGCTGCTTCAGGAAAATTAAGCGTAGTCAAGCATTTCAAGTCCGGTAAGCATTTTCTACAGGGAGCTGCCACAGGCAACTTCATTCGCCATTCCGGGATGAAGATATCACACGCTATGAATGACACTCGAACACGTGTTCTTGGCGGTTGGGGAATGGCCACACAGTAGCTCAAGGACTATGCCATGCCAACAAATGTATGGACGTGTGCCCTTTAAGGGAACCCCCCAGGCCCAGAATGGTGGTGCTTCTTTTGGCTTCCCATTACAACCAAATGAAAGGAGATCCCGGCTTTGACCAAATGGATACTTTGAAGTCACCAGAAGGCCTGCTGATCCACTGCGGCGATTCTTGATTCCACTCCAAACCAGGCACCCAAAGACCAGAACCTTGACGGGCGATGCTCAAAAGTCGCCGTACTTCGCAACACCTGTTGCGAGATGGTCAAAATCTCCCTGTGTGGGTTGTCCGGTGGCACCCTATTGCCTAGTCTGCTTGACCACGCCCGGCAAGCAACCAAGCAACCTGGTGACAACCCACCACAAGCAACCCCCTGTGCCCGAGGCGCCGAACACTCCAGCTTCTCCAGCATGAACTTTGCCAGGATGCTCGTCACCTGACAAGGCAAGCTCGGCCGACTTGGCCAAACGGCCCCAAAGACCCGTTTGCATCGAAGCGTCTTGCTTTCTGTCTGCAAAATGCGCCGCAAGCTCAGAAAGCGGTATATCATTGCTCGCTGAGATTGGCTGTGAGGGTTTGCTACCGTGTTGTAAATGTGTTGTTCCATCGGCATACGCATAACCTTCGATGATCAGACATATCATCATATCACGTTCACGATTGCAGTGCCAAGCACGTTAGCTGCAAAGACACGTCAAAGGATGCTCACAGGCAGGGAGCGGAGTCTTTTCCCTCTGCTACAGCTCAACGACCGTGGATGGACAAACTCCACGCGGGATGGATGACGCCCTCTGACTGGGATAAACCACCCACCGACTTTTGCGGATTCTGTCCATCCACAAAAGAGGCTTGTCCCAAAATGGGGGAACCCACATGCCTGGTTTCCTCTTGGCTTCCCAAAAAAAAACAGCTCCAAAACGGAGAAAATGAAAACAAAACTCAGACCAGACGCACCCAACAGGCACCCGCGACAGATCTTCGTGCGGCGCCTGTGCGAAGCCGTTTCGCGCGGCCAGATGCAGCGGCAGGCGCCCGTCCGCATCCTTCATCAGCAGCGGAACCGGGGGCCTCGGACGGCCGCAGAATTGGGCGGTAAAGCTTGATGCGGTGTTTTTTTTTAGAAAACAATCCCTTGGTTTTAAACAGAGTTTATCACTACTGGACTTTTTTTTCCAGGGGTCTTAACTTAACCAAGTGGAAGATTGGCTTTTTAGGTTTTCAATAGGGTTTAGGGTTCGCGCGCCTGCTTTCACAAGTTTAGGGTTTAGGGATAAACCACTTTGGAGGTGGTTCAATACTGTGGATGGACCAAATCCATTTCGCACCACTTTGAAACCATAGGATACCACTGTTCGTTGGCATTTACACGGGAATCATCATTTCAAGGTTTCTTAGGTGGTGCAGGATTTTGTCCATCCACAGTAGGGAACCACCTCCGAAGTGGTTGGCTTTTACATGAATCCCCACAATAGGGGGTTTTGTGGGGATTTTGTGGGGATTCAGGTTCCATATTGAAAAACATGGCCAAAAGCATGCGAGGCAACCCGGTTGTCGTAACACGCAGTTGGCAGAAAACTCGGAACAGGAGTTGAAGATGTACACATGCGAGGAGTCTGCGTATTCCTCAGGGTTGTGAACCACCTTTCAGGATACTTTGGCGTGGCAACAAATTCTTCTGATAAAAAAAAAAAAAACACGGTGTATGTGGAAGCAACACCACACAAAACTACTCTCATGGGTCCCGGGAGTTGATCGTGTCAAGAGTCCTCTCCGAGTTTGATCCTCCGATTGGCCAGCAGCCCTTTCTCACAGGCGGGGGTAACAGTAGACCACCAATCCCCACGCGAATTGCGCAACGCCTCCACAGAAAATCGGGCAAAGTAGCTGGACAGTGTTTCCTTCGCAGAACCTCTGCCAAATGGCTCGGCTGCGACGTATGCTGCAGGCATCCAACTATTTATTGCTTCAATATAATGGATGCCGACTTCAAATCGGAGAACTGTGTGAAACATACAGCATGCGCATGAATGAACCAGCAGCATGAGTTGAAGTTTACAAAGTGAGATGATGGTGCTGCTGCGGACGCGCCAAAAACTTGCGCATCCCGCCGCCGCTGCCGCCGACAACATGTCTTTTGCGTTTTTGTTCCGAAACGTGAGCAACAGACCTACTTCTTCCTGTGAGATTCTCATAAAACAGGCACAGTGCGGAGGTTCGCGGCTCACAAGGGCCGGAGTTTCCTCTCTGTGCCATCTGGCTGTGGTTGTCAAAACCGTTTTGGTATCCCATTTTGGTTGGGATTGGTGCATTCACCGCCCATTTTAGGCTTCCTATTTTAGTGGTTGGATTGAATCGGATGTTCGCTGGGGGTTTCCGGGCTTTGGCTTTTGCCCCATGGCCATCTGACTGCCAAACACCGGCGAGCCGCGGGGGCTCCTCGTCAGGCGCCGGCTGTTTGCTGGAAGGCATGTGCCATCCTCGGGCTGGGCCGGGCTTTGCTGCTCCATGCCATGGGTCAAAAACCGAAAACTAATCCTAGTTTCATTTTATGGCTTAGTTTCATTCTTATATGGCAAATTGATCCTTATGCCTTGTGCCAAATGGGTATGGGCCAAAATGAAACCACCAGGAAATGGACCGCACGTTAAATCGTACATGTTTCCATTTACCAGGGCAGCCGATCTTGGGTACAAATTGTTGACAGCCATGTGGCCATGGGTCAAAAGCCCAAAACCTGGAAACCCCCAGTGAACCTCCGATTCAATCCAACCACTAAAATAGGTTCTAAGATGGGTGGCCATGTGGCCATGGGTCAAAATGAAACCAGGGACCGCAGGTTTTAGTTCATGTCTCCATTTACCAGGGCAACCCATCTTGGGTACAGATTTTTGACCCACAGCCATGTGGCCATGGGTCAAAAGCCCAAAAACTGGAAACCCCCAGTGAACATCCGATTCAATCCAACCACTGAAAAAGACGACTAAGATGGGTGGTGAATGCACCTACCAACCAAAATGGGATCCCAAAACGGTTTTGACGACCACAGCCATGTCGGTCTGATCTCTGTTGCCTCTCTGCGTATCAAGCACAGCATGTGTGTTCCTGGAAGGAGTCACGTATTCTTGCACTGCCAAAGACCTAGAGCAAACAACTCAACTGTGATCTGTCCCTCCTTTCGCCACCTTTGTTGGCAAGCCAACATGAGGCACTCACGTTGATGCACCAGGAATATGTTCTACACCGTTCCTCAGTTGTGTCCGTACAAAAAATGGTTTCTTTGCGCAAACTGGGCACCCTTGACACATTGCACAACATTCAGGGTCCACATTGCTTAGCTTGTTGCCACTCCACACAGCAAGCGAGAGAGAGACACAGACACAAAACCAAAAGAGGCAGAGAGAGGGAGAGAGAGGGAGACACACACACACACACACACCCACCCACCCACCCACCCACCCACCCACCCACCCACGCACGCACGCACGCACGCACGCACGCACGCACGCACGCACGCACATCCCGCTAAGATCTACTAAGTTTTCGAGGTTCTCCAAATCTAAAGGGCCGCTTGCAAAAACTCCACGTCTTCGTCCAGAAACTCAACCCCGCCCCCCCCCCCCCCCCTCAAAAAAAAAACAAGGAGGCTGAGGCGGGCCGCTGGCGTTGAAGGCCTCACCATCACCAAGGAAGTTACTCAGAATATCTCGAACCTGGCGGGTGCATGTGCGAAGATCCCAAGCCCCGGATCAAGGGATGGGGAGGCAGCAGACATGCCTGGGCTGCCCTCAGATCCCCTGCTAAAAGTGTAACTTTTAGCGGGTTGTTCCATTTAACCGCTAAAGCAACTAAAAGCGGCCAAAAAGCCAAGGAACGTTTGGGAGAAATGGAAACTACCAAGAAACCAACTAAAGGCAACTAAAAAGCTAAGTTGAGATCGGATGGTGTTCGAGAACCAGATGCCGTAGATCTGATCAACTCCGTGAGATGAGCCACAGGTTTCAAGTCGATGATTGCGGTTTGCTGCGTTTGCTTGCAAGAAGATAGGTCTTGTGGAGACGGGAGGAAGCAGCACCTCACAGTCAGTAGCCGCCCTTGAATTCAAAGAAAACCATGATGGGGCAGGAAGGATGGTGCTTGAAACATCAGTGGGAGTTCAGAAAATGGCAGCGGCTCAAAGCTGCCCAGCTCGGGCCACTTGGGTTGCTAAGCCTGTTGGCTTAGGAGAGCTGCATCACCGGTGACTGGTGAATTCATTGAGAAACAGCCAGCTTTTCGGGCCTGAGGCACTCTTGAAATCCGAGCGTGGTGATTTGGCTGGATCCTACTCGGCCTGCAACTAAAAATGGGATTTGACAACGGCGCTTCCCTTTGGGACAACCCGAAGCCGCGAAGCCCAGGGTCCTTTTCGACTGAAATGAACCGCCTCCCTTGAAAAGGGTTTCTACACTACCAGGGGGGCTGCTTATTTCTCCCACAAACAGTGGAAAAGGCAAACCATGCCGAATTTCTGAAGCCGCTCATGGACAAATCAAACACAAGCACGCATCTCTCGCCGATTCGTGGCCTGAAGTTCGGACCCCGACATCCCAACCATCTCACCCATAGCTGGCGCGAGAGATGCAGGGAACGATAAAATTGGAATGGCCCTTATGAACCCATCCAACTCGTGGTTTCCTTGAACTAGGTCCGCCAGTAGAGAGGATAGAATAAGGGTACCATTTTTTCTGTAGTCTATTTTTGTAGAGGAATCCTCCCGACAAAAAAAGTTGGTGAGAAAGGGCACCTAGCTGGCGGACCTAGCTAAGGGAATCCACTGGGTTCATTCCATTTCTCATTCCCCACGTATCGCAGAGGCAACAACTCAGTTGTTCACTGACCCTGGAAAAAAAGGGAACCCTTTTTGGGGAAGACCATTTTTAGTTGGGCCACCCAAAAAGAAGTTGGAAAAAGAATTGGTGCCACTGAAGAGCTGCACAATGCTCACTTTCATGGGTGCTGGGTGTCTCCCATGGGCATAGCTTCACTTCGCATCACTTTTTGCGCCACTGAACTGAGACAAAAACTCCCCGGCCAGCTCGTGGAAGCCCTTCTTGGCTGCCAGGTGCAGCGCCGTGCGCTGCTGAGCCTCGAGGCACGCAGAGTGCTGAGAAAGGCTTTTGGGAGTTCGGTGCTTCTTTTTTTTTGGGGCGGCGGGGGGGGATGAGATGGTATTTTCTTCATATTTTTGTTGGGGGTGGGGTGTGATGTTCGTTTGTATTTGTTCTTGTGTGTGTGTGCTTTTGAAGGGGGGGAGATGATGTTATTTTCTTCATTTTTTGTTGGGGGAGGGGGTGATGTTCCTTTTTGTGGCGGGTGATGTTTGTTTATCTATTCATTTACGTTTTCGAGGGGGTTGTTGTTCTCTGCAAGCCCTGTTGGCGCTCACCAAAAACGAGCAGCCAATGAGGATTGCTTTTGATGGGCCAGGCAGAGATAATCATACCGAGGCTATCCTTGAACATAAGGTTTGGACGATCGAACCTAAAGTCGCTCTTGATACTGTAGTTGGAAACGTATGACGAGGCCGCTCCCCATGAGTTGTGGCTTGCTCGGACAAGCGAATTGCCAAAATGACGTTGTCCCTTCCCCACATTTACTTCACTGATACCTCCCAGTCAAGCTGCGATATTAGGTCTTTTGGAGGTGGGCGGGAAAACCACTGAACTTGGACAGCCCGGTGTGCATTGGGGCGTGCATCGACCCAGGGTGTAGTCGACTTGCTGCAACCTTCACGTTCTCAGGCTAAGGTGGTTGCAGGTGAATAAAACCTGCTAAACAAATATGCAACTTACCCGCATTCAACTTAACACATGTGGCGGCCCAAAGCAAAGAAGCCCGTGCTACGCAGAAGTTCGTCTTGGAGGGTCATTCCACTCCTAGCTCGCATATGTGACGCGCATGTATCAGGTTCAGGTTTATGTGCCGGCAGTGACTGTAGTGTTCCCGCTTCTTTGTGAATACAACAGCTTAGTAGGGATGGTTTTGGAGTTGAACCGCTCGGCCGGAGCAACATTTCGCAGACGCAGACGCAGACCCCGCTTTCGCAGGGAATAGGGAGCCCCCCGGGCCCCACTTGCCCAATTAGCTTTGACTCGAACTCAGGCGGCGATCCAAACATATTGGCTTCATGGGTATAGCTGTCTTTCCAACAGATCTCTCAAAAGCAGAAAACCCCTACAAATGAGTTTCCTTTGAATCCCTCAAGTCTACCCAAAAGACACACACACACACACGCACACGCACACGCCCGGGCGCGTGCACACACACACAGACACACTGGTTTCAGGGGCCTGTTTTGAGACACCCGTACACCCGTGGCCTTCTCTTGCCAAGCTGCATCCACCGTGCACTGGCTGAGGATGTTCATCTGGCCGTCTTTGCTGCGGCCGCGCATCATGTATCGGTCATGGAAGATCCTGCCCGTGCAAGGGAAGAAAAGACAAAACTGTAAAGATAATGATGACGATAACAATAATAACAATAATAATTAGAATAATAATAATTAGAATAATAATAATAATAGTAATAATAATAATAATAAATAATAAATAATAATAATAATGATAATAATTATGATAATAACAATAATAATAATGATAATAATGATAATAATAATAATGATGATGATGATGATGATAATAATTAATAATAATAATAATAATAATAATAATAATAATAATAATAATAATAATAATAATAATAATAATAATAATAATAATAATAATGATAATAATAAAAAATGACACTAACAAAAATAAAATAAAAAAATATATTTAAAAAAAGACCCTTCAACCATAGAACACCCCCCCTTTCGACCTGGATATACCCACAATCTTGGGGTGGGGAGGAATTCCACCCCCAAGATGACAATCAAACCTGTGCGGTCCTTGCTCCCAACCACTGCAATAAGTCATCCACGGTTACTAATGATGTTCCTGTGAGTGCCCCCCCTCCCCAATGTTTCGCAGACCTTTGGAGAGAAGCCCCAAAGGCTCAACATAGTGACCCTTGTCTCTTTTTTGCTGACAATCCTCTGCAGGGTGTGCACAATATGTTGCACGAATCCTGCCGTCAACGTCCATCTGTGTAAGTCCCAACCACTCAGCTCCCCCACTGTGGGACCAACTCAGCGCAACAAAGCAACGCTTCCCCATTTAGGGCCACAGTGCCCGGCAGATTTATGGAGACAGGGAGTATTGTCCGAATTTCGCTTCGAACGGCGATGAACCCAGCTGTCCCCAAACTGGCAATGTGCTGGTTTGGAGGCTAGAGAGCTTTCAGTTTGGGTTTAGCAACTACTGGGGTTGTGCGCCCCAACCGCAAGCTGATTGCAGTTCATTGGATCCGAGAAGCAAATAACAACCTGCTTCTTGAGGGAAGGTCCCGAGATCTCCGCTGCCAATGGGCAAAGCTACATCGCAGCGGCTGTCTAACGCCATGTGGGTATGGGTCAAAATTAAACCACCAGGGGAGCGCAGGTTTTGGCCCATGTTTCCATTTGCCAGGATTCCACTTTGGGTACATAGTTTTGCCCCACAGCCACGTCGAATCCTGGGACTTTGTTCCATCCTGCCAGCTGCGCCATTTCTCCCCGGCTTGCCAGCTTCCCCTTTCCCAGGCCCAGCGCACCCGGCGCCGAATTTCATAGACTGCAGGACTCACCTCCTCCATAGACCGCAGGCTCTACGTCACTAACTATAGTTGAACCTCCCAAACTTTCATCATATCAATGTTGAACAAATATATCAGAGAATTAGAATCCACGACTTTGAATATTCACATTTTATTTTTTAGTATTCACCCCCCCCCCCGCCCCCCCCGCCCCCCCCGCCCCCCCCCCCGCGGGCGTTCGGCGGACACGCCGGCCGCGGCTTCGCGGCGTCGCGGCTTCGAAGCCGCGCGCCTGGTGTGGCCCCGCAGGGCCGCGGCGTGCCAGGCGGTGCGGCCCAGGCCGTCCCGCGCGAAGAAGTCCAGGCCCTCGGTGCGAAAGGTCTCCAGGCCTCGGGACGCAGAAAAATTCTGGGGCTCTTTACACCTTTGGCCCTGAAGCCTGTTTTTTTTTTGTGTTTCTTTTTGTTGGGGGGGGGGTTGGGAACCCCAACCTGCAACCCGTTTTTGCTTTGGGGGGGCTGTTTTTTCTTTTGGGAACCCCACCCCACCTCACCCAAACCCCCAACTAGAAACTTCGATGGCGAGGGGCGGTTCCACTGCGCCAGCAGGTGCACCGGCCGCCGGCCCTGCACCTTCGCCACAGCCTGGAGGTCGCAGCTGTGCTCCGCCAAGGACAGCACCAGCTGACCGGCGCAAAGCACGCGCGAAGCGGAGGCGATCCCATGGGATCTCCTATTACTCGGTTGCTTTCTGCTCCCCTGCAAAAAGTTTAACTTTTGGTGGTTTAATACGGAAAACCCATTAGTTGGCAAAAAGTGAAAGTCCTAACATCCAAGCAAAATGCACCAAAGATTAGACTGCCATGGACTCTCATGGAAATCCCATCTCCCATTAACCCATGGGCTCGCATGGACTCCCATCTCCCATAAGGCGCCGGTGGTTTTCTCTTGGGACGCATGGGAATAGACTTGAGGTCTCCCGTCCATTGACCCCGAGCCAGGACATCTCGCCTTCTGGTTGCCAAAGCGAGCTGCCAGGTGAATGGGCTGCCAGCCATCCTGACGTCCCAAAAACGAGAGAGCCTCCACTAGGTCCTCCAGTAGAGAGGTTGGAATAAGGGTACGCTTTTTTCTGTAGTCTATCTTAGCTGGGGAACCCTCCCCCAAAAAAGGTAAAAGGGCACTGGGGGACCTAGTCCAACTTCTGGCCTTTGAAGGGAGTGCACAAGGAAAGTCGTCCTGGAGGCCTCCAACATCGATCCAAAAATTTACGAGGCAGAGGGACTCGGGCCTACGAGAAAGCCTCGCATGTCTCCAGAACACGGAAGCCAGACCACACCAGGTGATAATCAACCAACTGAGCTTAAGTCAGGCACCAACTGTTGCGCACCGCGGCAACAAGCAGACGCTTGCGACGGAGGAGACATACTCCACCAGCATTCTGAATGACCAACACCCAGGCTCTTGTGGACAGCTCGAAAGCCGCAATGTTATTGGGGAATGAGCAAAGATGATTTCCCTTGCCACGGCCTCGTTGGATTTCAGTGATTGGCCTGAAGCGGTGGATCGGGGAGAAAAGCGGCCGATCATGTATCAGCCTGGTGTCGATCAATATGAATAAACAATCTCAACAGTTGACAGCTCAACAGAACAAATGGCTTCAGGTGCAAGGTGCCAGAGAACACCGTCACCCGCCACGCGCATTGATCAATGCTCGACACCGGCGGAGTGACTCGTTTGTGGCATAAGGTGAGGTTGGAAGACCATGCTAGGAAAAAGACTTCGAGAACCGGTGCTTTCCAAAAGGCCGCAAGAAATTCTCGGCTGCAAGCCCAAGAGCATCCTTCCATTTGGGGATTCGGCCCCAGGAAAAAGAAAAAAGGTATGTCCAGTAGCGATGAATTCCTTTTAAAACCAACAAGGGAAAACAAACACATAAACAAAAAAAAAAAAACGTGCTCTTAAGCAAATGGAGGTCTCCAAGGAAGCCGCAGGAGTCCTTCTGCGGCAGGTTGGCATCGCACCTCTCACCAAAAGTCTTGGCCAGTTGTGGCGGGGACCCAACTTGGCTGCCGCAACGACCCCTCCGCAAAAAGCGAACCAGACTTTCCGTGGGCTTAGTTCGGAAAACCCCACTTGATTTCAACCAAAAAGTCAACGTCTAAAGATCCAACCCAATAGCAGACAAGCCAAAATAGTGAGTTTCATGTTGGTTGGCCATCAAAACCTCCAAAAGGGATACCCTCAAAGAAAGACACACCCCGGTTCGCCAGGGCATTTGTCGAGAAGCCAATGCAGGAATTCTCTTCAATCGATCTCTACCGGGTTTATTTGCTGTCGGCCAGGTCAAAAGCCGCATGTACCCGACCACCTTTTGCCTGCATGATCCCGGGTGAACTTCGTGCGAGCAAAAACGACTTGCTCAGCAGGGATCCTTACATTATACACCTGAACATTGCCTTGTAAATGGTGGTTTCCCTTGATTTTGGTGGAAATAAACATGTTTCAAATGGTTGCAAAATGTATCTTTCAAGGAGCCCCCCAAAGGAGCCAATGGCGATAGGTGCTGTTAGATCGGGTCCCTCCCTGCCACTCGCCGCGTGTGGGCCATGCTGCATCAAGCTCATTGGGCAAAAAACCCGCGCGCGCCACTGCGCTGTTCTAATGATGGATTCTAGTAGTGACAACTTTGCTTCGGCCAGGTCTCTCTTCGGGGACCGATAAAGGGTGTGGACCAGGGAAACAACTCGATAGATGTCACAAAATGCCAAGTCCCTATGGTTGTTTGGGCAAATGATTGGGAGATGCGTGCTTCCAATGCTGGGTTTCCACATGCTTCTCTTTTCTGGTCGGCTTCACGTCTTGTCACTGATTGTTTGTCTAGCGCGGCTGCATGGAGATGGCATTTGAGAAGAAGGACTAACAGATCACACCGCTCGACATCCTCCCCAGGCACTGTGACTTTTGGTCAAAACTGGGCACCCTTTGGGGTGGCTGAATGTGTTCAGGTTTGCATACAAAAGTCGCCGACAATTTCCGGATGTGCCACGTTTGGGGCGTGGGGAGCATTCATGTTCTAAAAAGTTGGAAAGATTAAAAGACCGACCAAGACACATACCATGCCCATTTGGGTCATCACAATATGGGCGTGGGAGCCACGAAATGGAGCCTGGACTCCCTTTAGTGCCCCTGAAAGAAAAAGCGCCAAAAGAGAACCAACTCCAAAACCGCCACGGCACCTGGGTATAAATTTCATTTGGGATACTTTGGCGCTGTGTCCACCGAGTGTTCCCTGAAAACATCATGGCCATCGACAAAATGGTGGGTCTTTGTGATGGAACCCCCTTTTCTGTCTCAAAATGTCAAGGGAAAAGAACAAAGTGATCACACACGTCTCCTCCTACACACCAAGGATTCGACCTCTGGCCCTGACAGATCCGACAAATCAGCGCAAACGCGGCCGCCGCCTCAGTCGTAGCAGCTCCAGCGCTGCCTGCTCCGACTGTGCGGCGCAGGCCGCGTGCAGTGCGGTGCGCCCGTGGCGCGTGGTGGCGGAGACCAAGGAAGGCGCAAGCGCGGCGAGGCGAAACGCCGCCTGGATGGGAGGAAAACACAGGCGGGAAGCTGAGGTTCTGCTCAACGGAAAACGTGTTTTGGGGGTAGGGTGTCCTAAAGTCTAAGTGGAAGACAGGGGGAAGCAGGAGAGAAGAGGAGAGGAGAGGACGCGTGGCGTGGGTTAGGAAGGGCCTAGGGTAGTAGGGCACCTTTGTTTGCGTGAGGGAATCGACCGGTCCCTACATGGAGGACGGCAAACATTTCTGAGAAAGCATTGCCGTGGTGCTCAAAGCGTGCCGGCGAACAGCAAGGGGGCTGTACGTCTGAGACAATGACAAAAAAGCAACAGTCGCATTCATCCTATCTGCAAATTTTACATAATTCCAAAAGCTGAATTAAGGGATCCTCAAGTAACGGACCTTTATCAGGGTGAGCTTGTTGCTATACCCCCAGGGCAGATCCTATGCCTGCGCATTCGTCCTAGCGCCATTGAAACTATATCCGGCACAATAGCACAATCTTGTTGACCGCCTGAAATGGCCGAACATATGGACTCTTCGTGGAACCCTCGTTTCCTTCTGGACCGTCTTTGGTGCTTGGCCCAACCAAAGAGCACCAACACACTTCAGTTGCAAGAGAGGGCGACTGCATGGCTTCCAGCTACCAAGCACTGCCTGGCAGTTGTTGTGCTTCGCAGCCCAGTGCAGCAAAGTCATCCCATCCTGCCGTGCTGTCGCTCGCTCGCTCGCTGCATGCCTGGTTCACTCATGCCGTCAGGTCCGGGTTGAATGCGTTCAAAAATTTGAACTGACTCCTGGAAGAGACCACAAACATAGACGGCTTGTCTGAGCTCGTACACTCCCACTACAGATGCCATAGTAGAGTGAGACATGCTATCTCTCAAAGCACCTTACTCTAGCCCTCCCCAATCATATTTATTTTTGCAGCGGAGCCAATTCACGTGAACTGGCTACTGAGGCTCCGCGCACATTTCGGAACCTTACTAACAAACAACAATTGAAAGAGACAGGCTTACGCAGGTTTTATCTTTGGCTCCATTTACCAAGCTGCCATTTTGGTACATGTTTTTGCGCCACTCTCAATTTCCTCCTGAGCCACAAGTCCACAGGCTTCAAGCCGGACATCTCACCTATTGTACTTCAAGGGGTCTTGATGCAAGGTCATGAAAATATTTGAGTCCTATGTTGCTCTTCTGATGTCTTTGCCGTTGTCAGCTCAATACCCAGGGCCTGAATCTAAGCAAAATTGTCCTGCCCACAGGCTGTTTCCAGTCCGAGATGCGCAGTACCCGACGGTCAGTGTATTGTTGGGAGCTCCAGAGAGTCGTGCAGGCAGGAGTTGCATAAAGTCCCCGCTATGGTCACCCAAGCATGTGCCATTGCAAACATCCAAACCGGGATATTGTCCAGTGGTGTCAGAGAACTGCACCGGCCCAGATGCTGTCACCACCTAGGTTTATGCTTGCAATCTCGCCAGCCAATGAATTGGTCTTCGTTCCTGAGCAGTCAGGGTTTTCCACAGCATGTGACAGAGTATCTGCGACTCCCGTCAACGGCTCACATCGCCGGATCCATTCACTCGGATGTGGATGTCAGCCCACAGGCCGAAGTGTTCAAACTCAGCCAGGCCAGCCAGAATTCGTTTGCTGGCGAGGCATCTTAGATGGCAAAAACCACCCGGATTCCGTCGAGCGCGTCTTGTTTCAAGGCTGACTGCACCTCCCCCCACCCCCACCGCCTTCTCCGCTAAGCTGACATCCACCTAAGGCCGCGAAACCTCACGAAGCCTATGCACGGCAACACTGTGTTTTCCACATAGCCAAGCATCGACCGACCAAACTGCGATAAGGATGATAAGGCCAAGAAAGAAACAAAAAGACACGGGCCAATATCCGTTGGTCAAGAAACAACAAGAACACGGGCCAAGAAATGCTTCGGGAATCAAGCCGCAAGCCCTGCGCACCTTGTGCTCCAGGATGGTGAAGACTGTCTCGAAGTGGCCACGCCTATCCCAGCACCCCGGATGACAGACGATTCTGCGCGGTTGAAAGATGTTGAAGGAACAAAGGAAATGCATTCGCCGCGCCTCTTAATGAGTTCTTGCCAGCTTGGTCCGTAATTATGTCGCTCCCCACTCACTTGGGCAGTGCTGACAATCCATTTGGAGTGGATGGATGTTCAAACCCAGGGCTGGTATATGTATACGGCTTGGGCGGATCCGTGCATGCTTACTTTTTGGCTGACTGGCTGGCTGGCTGGCTTGCGAGAAACAATTTTCCTAAAACATCAAAACTCCTGGACTGAAAACAAGGACTGACATGACACAAGACTCACCATCAATACTGTGGATGGACGTAATCCTGCACCACTTGAAGACCATGGGACACCATGATTTATTGGCATTTACAGGGGAATCGAATCATTCCTAGGTTTCTTAGGTGGTGTGAAATGGATTTCGTCCATCCACAGTATCATACGGGCGATGCCCTGATCCTTGAAAAGTGGGCCCAGTTGATCAGTCCGCCGCACACTCACGATAAAAGAACCGTGAGCAGCAGTTTCTGCCCAAAAGCCAAAAGTCACTAGTGCCTGTTGTTGTTTTTGTTGTTTCTTCTTTCTTTCTTTTTTGGGGGGGAGGGAGGGGGTGCACAGGGGGTTGGGGGTGAAGGGGGGAACCAACTTGATTGCTTGGTTTTCAAGGGACACCACAAGGAAAAAAAGGCTTTGAGACACACCCATGCTGTCCCACCGCATCTGGCCATATCACCGGCCTGGCTGCTGCGAACACGGGGGCCACGCCGTTGAGATCCGCGAGCATTGCATCCGCCTTGGCCGCCAGCAGCAGCTCAGCGGCACCCCGGTTGCCGCGCTGCGCCTTGGCCATTAGGGGAACAGGGGCTGACTGCCGTGTCCTTGCAGACCTCTTGGTAGCTCTAGCTCCCTGATTGATGGTGAACCCCGGATGAATAAACCCCTGGTTGATTTTTTTGGGGGGGTGTCTCCTTTTAAGTTCAGACCACGTTTGGAGGGAACACCCCCTTAAACATGGGACGGGCTTTAAAAATCCTGTGTCAACATTAGAAGCAAATTTGGATAGCCCCCAGCCACGGAGGCTGCCTTGAAACAGCTAGCTGAGCCCGCGCGCACTCAAGCGGCTGCCAACAGGCCAACCCGCGCGTATCGGTCGAATCCGTGAGCTCGGATCCAATGGTCATCTTGGCTGATGGATTTGGCAACCTGCATCATCCACCCTGGATGATTGGCAGTCGCTTATTCACTCTGTTTGCAGAAGTCTTCTCAATATCGAACACATTTGGAAAGTCGTTCTGAAGATAGCTTCTCAAGTTTGGTAGCTGGCACTTCTTTCACCTGACCAAATCGACGCATGCCAGGCTTTGTGTATAGAGAGACAATCGAGGCAAGAGGGGAAGGTCATTCGGGTTCCAAACAATCGTCTGCAAATCCGGCTGACTTGACCGGCCGACCGACCGACCCACCGACCGACTGACTGACTGCAGGACGCATGAAGGCTGGCAGGCAGGCTGGCAGGCAGGCTGGCAAGCCGACTGACTGCTGGTCTGTGCATGACTGGCGCGACTCTCAATCCATGGCGGAGTTCGTTCAGTGGTAGGTTAAAGGGAACCAATCCCCAGTGTCTGACGACCAGAAACCGTCAAAAAATATAAAATAAGCTCAGGTGATATCGCCAACAGCATGCGGCGCTCCCCCCCCCTGACAGCCCTCGTAGAACTTCGTGGAACGCTGGTGGAACCCTGGTGGAACCCTGGTGGAACCCTGGTGGAACCCTGGTGGAACTTTGGTGGAACCCTGGTGGAACCCTGGTGGAACCTGGTGGAACCTTACCTCAGCGCCGCCCCGGACCACCCCGGAGCCTATCTGGGCTGAGACCCCACAGCTTTCAACTGTTGGGGAAAAATGAGCCGAGTCCAATCTCGCCACCCCTCCAGCTTGGCCGAGCCGAGAGGCGGCAAGATACAGCGCCGTGCGCCCGTGGCTGCAGCACAACCCAAGGTCGCTCTGAAGCTCCAAGAGCTTCCTTGGCTCGTGGGATTCACAAGGAAAACTCCAAGTCAATGAGATGCTTAAGTGGCTTCGGCCGCCAACCTCTTGTCCCCCCCTTGCAAGTGTCTTAACTTCAGCCATGTCGACTCTCAAAGGCGAAAGTCAGGCAGAGTGAGGTGACAATGTGTCGCAGGTCATCAGGTTGGCCATGCCCCTTTGAACAACTACCCTTCCACCAATTCACGTGGAACCTGACAGGGGTTCCCTTCAAAAGGAAAATGGTTTTCCAAGAACCCACTGGCAGGTTCCATGTTGATTGATGGGAGCGTATCTGGTTTTGATAAGAAATTCCCACTTTGGGGTAAACGACAAAAATCCCCCCAAATAGCGTGTTTCGGATGTGGGAAACCCTCCGATCTGGCCTATCGCCATTCCAGGCCAAAGACTCGATGTAGAACTTGCCAACCCATGCGTACGCAAGCGCAAACAGGCAAACAGGGCGATTAGGTTGGCCCTTTCAAGTTTGGACATGCTCTCTTGGGGCTTGGCATTGGGCCAAGCCCTTTCTGCGTGGGCCCCAGGTGGTCTCTACCCAATTGATTGCCGAGCTGCGCCACAACTCCGATCCGTCCCCATTGCGCCGCCAAGTGCAGAGGTGTCTTCCCTCGAACCTGCCGACGCTGTGGTTCTCAGGAAAGCTGGGGGCAGCTTGTTGGCAGTATACATGTCACATGAATCGAACTCAATTTGCCTCCCTTGGGCAGCACAGATCAGCATGTGTTTAAAAGAAAGAAAAGAAGCACGTTAAATGATCTCCGCCATGGTTGCCACTGATCCCCCCCACAAGAAAACAACATCCGGTCCCTCCCCGGTTAACCCTCCGAAGAAAGGTGTTGCTATCCTGAACAAATAGAGCAAGAGAATCGATGCAGAGTTCGAAGGACAATGACAAGCCGGGAGTATCACGGCATGGCTGCCATCTAACGCTTGCGTAGATGCCTCTAGGGCGATGGGGTGTCAAACCGTAAGTTCATTGCCACAAAGGCCACCATCAACCACGCAGACCCTTAGAGTCTTAAAGAAACCAACCCAGACATCCATGGAAGAAACACATCAAACAAAAGCATTGGCCCAACCAGCGAAAGCAACAAGCAGCAACCAGGACTTCCATTTGCTTCTTCGCCGCCTGGCAAAAACAAATAAGAGGAAACATGTCCAGTAGTGAATTCGATTCCCTTTAAAAACCGACCAGAAGAAAAAAACACATGGTTTTCTTTTCAGCAAATGGCGGAAGGAGCCAAGCCCCACCTCCCACCGAAACCGGAACCATTTTCAGTCCGAGTCCGAGCGACTCTGAGGCCCAGGCGTCAGTGGCTGAGAGCGAGGAAGGCGGCGCTGCCAGGTCCTGAGGAAATCAAGCTCAGTAAAAATAAGCCCAGTGCTATCCCCAACAGCCCTGGAACCTCTCCTGGAACCCTCCGGAAGCCTCCTGGAACCCTCCGGAAGCCTCCTGGAACCCTCCCTAAAAGCTTCCCCAAACCCCACAGCCTATCTGGGCAGAGACCCCATAGCTTCCAGCTGTTGGGGAAAAAAGCACACATTCAGCTCCACCGCTATGTGGGTGTGGTTTTTAGGGTACCCAGATTTTGGTTGATGTTGAGGGGAAGACAAAGGAAGAAAGACAAACCCATGTCACAGAATCCCTGAAAGGGCCATCCACCGCCCTGCTTCCCAAACCCTGTCAACATCCCGCCTCGATGAGCGTAGTCTCCACATCAAAGCAGGCAGCCACGTGCAGGCACCCCCGCCCGTTCTTCAGATCCTTGGGCATACGGACCGTTTGACAGGCTGGCGTAAAAAAAAAAAAAAAACGGCCCAAGGCGACTAAGTTTCAAAGAATTCCGCCGGTGAGTTTCGTTTTTGTGGGGTCACGGAAAGGAGATCTTATGCGCTCCTTCTTGCAAACAGTCGCCGAAAATTGGGGATGCCTTGAATGATGTGCAGTCGGTACTGTCTGGGGGCTTGGCAATGTTTGAGCACGCCAACGGTGGGTACGGTCAAGGTGAACGCTTGGTCCAGTGTGGCTGCACCCGCCGAACCTTCGGACTGCACACATGTGTATCCTCGCACCACAGGACCCACTGTACACCTCCCCAACCGCACGGCAGACCGTACTCCATACCTTTCGCTTGAGCGAGAACGATTCTCTAAGGGGAGAGATGAGGCTAGGGGAAGGAAAAAAAACATGCGGGTGTGCCTTTTTTTTACGAGACCCCCAAAAATGGTGGTTGTCATCATGGTTTCCCTTTAAAACCCACAAAGAAGCCACAAACTCAAGGATGCCGCTTCATGAGATAGTTCATCTTCTGTTCACTGTTGATAGCTTTTCACGATGCTTGCATTTGGCTTCTGAGCACATGCCTTTCGCTTTACCCTCCTTGCATCATGGATAAGTCAAGCGTCTCCGGTGTTGTACTCCCAAAACACTGCTGGATCTGTTCTGAGATTTTCTCAGGAGCTGGCTGAGCTTAAAAGTGCTGAGGCCCAAAGTTTCCATCACCAAGACTCGGAGTTGAGCTGGCTGCTGGCCGCACATGTCAGAGTTGTTTGGCGCCTTCGCAGCTCAGATTTTTCATTGTCCGCTGAAACCCCGTGTGTGTTGTCTCTCAAAGTTGGATCTCTCCCCGAAAAAATAAGACGAGACCTCCGGGCGATTTCGGAGCGTCGGCAAACTCGCGGCCTCGAGCCGAGCTGCCCCCGGCAAATCCGCGTCGCGGCGCATCAGTTTGCGGCTGCACTCGGCATGGCAGCGCCTGACGGGCGCTCCAAAACGAGTTCGAAGTCCCTCCAAAGGGTTGGTTTCGGAGTTCGGGTTGGTGTCCTTTTGACACCCTTCCAAAAAGACGCCGGGCAACCTCCAGTTTTGACGCACAGCCACCTGCAGGCAAAGCAGATCTTTTTCGGGCAGCGTGGAATCCCATCATGCTCACGCAATGAACGTGGCTGAGCTATGAAGTAAACTGATTCAGATTTACACACCACAGCCAACCTCGTTCTCCATCCATGCAATACACTCAGTTTTGTTGCAGTGCGAGAATGGCCAAAACGACAATCCATATACTACACGAGAGTTTCTACTCCCGGACAATTGTAATTACTCCCCAAGGAAAGTAGGAAGTATGACTGCAAGCAGCTTTGTGCACAACAGAGGTGCTCCATCTTGGCTCATTGCCAACAAGTAATCTAGTGCTACCTTCCACTTTTTTCCAGGGATCCTTCTTTCTAGAAAACCTCCGGAATCCCAGGAAAACGGCCGGTTCTCGGGAAAAAAAAATGGTTGCAAAAAATGGGGAATCAACCCTTAGAAGTAAGCAAACATCCCCTGAACAGAGCATGGCAGACTTGCAGCCGCTTTCCAAAAAGCCTCTGGAGCTTGAATGGTGCGGAGGAGAGGCTCGCTCAATGAAGGAGACCTATTGCTGCGGTTGCCAACAGTGGCAATCATACTGTGGATGGTTGCGAAATCCATTTCGCACCACTTGGGAACCATGGTTAAAACCATTGTTTGCTGTTTTTTTTAAAGGGGAATCGAAGCATTCCAGAGCTTCTTAGGTGGTGCCTAAGATAATTTTGTCCATCCACGGTATGTATGTGGGGAGTCACTCGAAAGAGGCAAATACACGCAGGACCGCAAGCGAGCCGTTTGGCACGATCACAAGTAGCAGTTGGCAAGGCTAAATGGACGACGTTCACTGTGCCAACATGCTAGATTTTGGTTGCTTCCGAAACTTCTGCTTCAAAGGATGGAGTGATCCAAAAAGTGACATGACTATTCCACGCAAGGTCCCATGTTTGGACTACCCCAAAGTAGACTTCAACCCAGGGTGGTTGATTTCCCCACAAAATTGGAACCCCCTAAGTCTCTACGTCTCCCTTTGCGCAGCCCCGAAAAAAAATGGGAAGCCCTGACTGACTCCTCTGAAGCGTTCCGCCCACATCATCCGACGCCTCAGGGTCCAGTGGAAGGCGGTCCAGCCCGAGTTGTCCCGTGCCTCTGCTGGGCACCCAGCATCCTCGGCGTGGCGTGGGCCCCGGGGGCCCCGGGGGCCCTCTTCACTTGGCTGCTAGACCCTGTGCAAAAAGCTTGTATCTTTTTGTGCAAAAAGCTTGTAACTTTTTGTGGGTTTAGTAAAAACCCCTTGACTGCCCAAGAAGTGAAAGTCTACAGATCCAACCCACTAGCAGTCAAGTTCAGAAGTACTTGCCGAGTGCAGACCTTGTGCATTTTTCGCAATTCATACTGTGAATGGTTGCGATATCCATGTCGCGCCACGAATTGTTCACCATGGTTGAAACCAATGGTTGTTGGCATTTGCAAAATCAATCGCATCATTCCAGGGTTTCGTAAATGGTGCCTAAGAGGATTTCGCAACCATCCACAGTAGCTAAGAGCTATGTCGCCCTTGAAGAACGAGCGTAGGATCCAAGAAGTGGATTTGCAGCAACTTGGTAGTGTCTTCAAGAAATGTGCCCGTACCTTCTGCAGAAACATCCAAGTACTTGACTCATTGATGACATAAAAGGATACTGGCAGTTACCTTCCCTACTTCGTCAACTTTCTGCAGCTGTGTGAGCTTTCCCATATTGCACTGCCACAGCTCACATTGCAATAAGCCGCAATAAGCCGCAATAAGCCTTGAAGCGTTTGGCGAGTGATGGGCCCCAGGTGCTGGTCTCATTCCACAAAAATAACTGCATTCCCAAGAGCACACTTGAAGCGCACCAAGTCCACCCAGACCGAAATCGAACCTAAGCCCATCACAGCCAACCCGGACCAACACAAACGATTGGTTTTCAAGGAAAGCAAAAGGAACGCCACTAAATTGCGGGTCTCCTAAGAATGGCACAATTCAAATGAAAATGGTCTACGCAGAACCATGCTTCAAGAATTTAGAAGGCGGATATCCGCAGCTATTTCTGGTTGGGATCGTCCCTTACTAACCTTCATCTACCCAGGGTTTGGCTCAAATTCCTCCCCAGCCGCCTTTCCAACGACCCCCAGTCGGAGGCGCCATCAGCTGCTCTGCCACTCCAGAATGACCGTTCAGCGCTGCCCAGTGTAGAGGCGTGCGTCCAAAGCTGGCGCAGACGGGGAGCTTGCCAATGACTTCTCCAAAGCCACGCATTCACTCAGAGGCTCAGTGGATGTCCATGGCAAAAACTGGGCATCCTTTGTTTGGTTGGTTAAGTTTAAAGGGAACCCTTCCAAAAATTACACCAGCAGAGACCCCAAACAGTTGAGGGCTGACGGGCGAGCACAAACATGCCAACAGCTTGTGGCTTTCTGCGCTTCAACACGGATGAATCAAAATGATGCAGTCGTGAACCTGGCGCGCGTTGCGTTGCTGCACGTGTGTTGCTGGCATGCTTCGCGCTTCAGCACCGCGCCAGAACTGAGGTTGGGCAAGCGCGCGCGATGGCGGGCGAGCGCGCGCGCGTGAACGCAAGTGTGGCCGCGCAAGCACGCAGTCACATGGGCAGTTCAAACACACATGTCCAATTCAGACACACATGTGTGTACACGTGGAACACACATACGTATACGACTGAAACAGTATACATTCACCTGCGGCACACGCATAAATGTGTTGAGCTGGAAAACAAACATGTGCTTCTTGGAAAGCACACACACACATGTGCAAACGTGGAACGCACATATGTGTTCACTTACGACACGCTAATGCGTTCACGTGGAACACACATGTGTGTTCACTTGGAACACAATGAAACGCGTGTCCAATTCAGACACACATGTGTGTACACGTGGAACACACATGCGTTCACCTGGAACACAAAGACGCGCAATTAAAGCACACATGTGTGTACGCGTGGGACACACATATGTATACCACTGGAACACAAACATGTGTCCACCTGGAACACCGCGTGTGCGATTAAAGCACACATGTGTGTACATGTGGAACACACATATGCGCACACGTGAGCAAACATAAATGCTCACCTAAATCGCACACACATGCGCGCACCTCGAAAACAATCATGCGTTTTCTGGAGCGCATACATGTGCACACCTGGAGAGCAAATATGTCGTCAGATGCCAAAAAAAGTTCATCTAGCACATACTAATGTGTTCACGTGAAACACACATCTGTTCACCTGGAACACAAACACGTGTCCAATTGGAACACACATGTGCGTACACGTGGAACACACATATGTGCACACGTGAACACGCATATGTGCACACGTGAACACTCACATATATGTGCACCCGGAACACACACCCGTGTGCTCATCTGATAACAACCATGTGTTCTCCTGGAACACAAACACGTGTCCAATTGGAACACGCATGTGTGTACACGTGAACACACATATGTGTACACGTGGGAGACGCAAATGCGCACACGTGAACACACACACATGTGCACACGTGGAACACACACATGTGTACTGCACATGTGAACACACACATTTATGCGCGCGCGGAAAACACAGACACACACGAGTGTTCATCTGATAACAAACACGTGGTCTCCTGGAACACAACCGTGTGTCTAATTGGAACACAACCGTGTGTACACGTGAACACACATATGTGTACACGTGAACACACACATATTTATATATATATATATGCGCACCCGGAACACACACACACGTGCGTTCATCTGAAAACAAACATGTATTCACCTGAAACACAAACACGTGTCCAATTGGAACAAACATGTGTGGACACATGAACTCACAAATGTGTACATGTGGAACACACATATGTGTGCAAATGAACACACATACATGCGCACGCGGAGCAGACACACACACACACACACGCGTTCATCTGATAACAAACATGTGTCCTCCTGGAACACAAACACGTGTCCAGTTGGAACGCACATGTGTGCACGCGCGAACACACAATGTGTGCCGTGAACACACATACAAAAAAGTGCACGCGGAGCAGACACACACACACGTGTTCATCTGATAACAAACATGTGTTCTCCTGGAACACAACCGTGTGTCTAATTGGAACACAGACGTGTGTACACGTGAACACACATATGTGTACACGTGAACACACACATATATACGCGCACCCGGAACACACACACACACGAGTGTTCATCTGAAAACAAACATGTGTTCACCTGGAACACAAACACGTGTCCATTGGAACACACATGTGTGTACACGTGAACACACATATGTGTACACGTGGGAGACGCAAATGCGCACACGTGAACACACACATGTGCACACGTGCAACACACACATGTGTACTGCACATGTGAACACACACATTTATGCGCGCGCGGAAAACACAGACACACACGAGTGTTCATCTGATAACAAACACGTGTTCTCCTGGAACACAACCGTGTGTCTAATTGGAACACAGACGTGTGTACACGTGAACACACATATGTGTACACGTGAACACAGCACACGTGGAACACACACATGTGTACTGCACATGTGAACACACACATTTATGCGCGCGCGGAAAACACAGACACACACGAGTGTTCATCTGATAACAAACACGTGTTCTCCTGGAACACAACCGTGTGTCTAATTGGAACACAGACGTGTGTACACGTGAACACACATATGTGTACACGTGAACACACACACATATATATGCGCACCCGGAACACACACACACACGTGCGTTCATCTGAAAACAAACATGTATTCACCTGAAACACAAACACGTGTCCAATTGGAACACACATGTGTGGACACGTGAACACACAAATGTGTGCACGTGGAACACACATATGTGTGCAAATGAACACACACACATGCGCATGCGGAGCAGACACACACACACACGTGTTCATCTGATAACAAACATGTGTCCTCCTGGAACACAAACACGTGTCCAGTTGGAACGCACATGTGCGCACGCGTGAACACACAATGTGTGCACGTGAACACACATACAAAAAAAGTGCACGCGGAGCAGACACACACGCACGTGTTCATCTGATAACAAACATGTGTTCTCCTGGAACACATACACGTGTCTGATAAGAACACACATGTGTGTACACGTGAACACACATATGTGTACACGTGCAACACGCATATGTGCGCACGTGAACGCACATATGCGTACATGTGGAACACACATATGTGCACACGCGAACACACACACACACATATATATATATGCGCGCCCAGAACACGCACACACACACACATGCGTACACCTGGAACACATATGTGTGTATGTCTGGAAAGCACATTTCTGTTCACCTGCAACACACATATGTGTTCACCTGGAACCCATATATGCGCTCACTTGGAACAGGCATTTGTGTTCACGTGCGACACTGGTGCAGACCTGGATCACACAAGCATGTTTAACCAGAACAAACTTCTGTGTTGACTTGTAACACACATATGTGTACACATGGAACACACGTGTGTGCACATGTGGAGAAACATGTGCAACACAAATGTGCAACACACATGCGTTCACCTGGACAACAAAAATGTGTTCACATGGAATTTACATTTCCTGCACGCCTGGGCGACACATAAATCAAGTTCCCGAAGCCGGCTGTGAGGCGCTATTCCATGGGGCTCTGCCTTGAACAACGCTTGTGTTTTATATGCGTGTTCCAAGTAGGAAAATAGTGTTCGTGTACGATCAATCTAGCTTTTTTGCAACACATTGCTAGCGCGCGAGCCTGCTGCTGCTGCTGCTGCTACTACTGCTAGTACTATCAGTATCGGATGCGTCTCCAGCAGTTACAGGCTTCAGCTTAGCAAAAGCTTTCCGGCGCATTGCGCTTCTTTCTCGCTTAGCTGCACAGTGTCTTTCGTATCGATTGCTAAAGTGCTTTGATCGTATTGTGGCAACTCTTCGTATCGATTCAGTAAAGCATTTGCTTTCGCAGGGAAATACGCAACCCAATTCTTCCGTATGCTCGGTACAAGGCATCCCTGCCGTCTTGCCTCAGCCGTTGTTTCTCCCCTTTGTCCAGCAAATCGCACTCCATGATAATTGCATGCGAGGAGAGCGGAAGCAAATTTGGATTGAAGCGTAACTGGGAACCGGTCACAGCTGACCACTGCGCTAGCGCCTTGCTAGCGCGCGGCTAGCGCGGGTTCGCCGTATTTTTTGGAGTCACGGCGACCATCTGTGTGGATTTGACAAATTAAGGCCACGTAAGATGAAGGTAAACGTGCGGGCTGGCTTCAAGTACTAAGTAAGAACTGCAACATTACACCCTTGAAAGCCACGCAAAGCCCATCGCGGCAACCCACGCGCCAACTCTTGGAAACCAAGATCACCGAAGACCCTAGCGCAAACCAAGCGCCATCCTAGCGCCTCCAGTGGGGAGCGGGCAATCCATTGGTATTTGCAGGACTCCGCTTTGTGTGAATGAAAAACTGCACAAAGTGACTGCGACGGTGGCCTCTGTAGACTAAACCCCCTTACTAGGAATTTTGACCGGATCGCATATGTGTTTTATCAGAACAATCGCATGCTTTCACCTGGAACACAAACATGTGCTGACGTGGAACACACTCATGTGGTCACATGCAAAAAGTGCGTGTTCACTTGGAACGCGCCGATGTGGTCAGCTGGAACACACCAAGAACACACAATCATTTACTTGAAGCACTCGTACGTGCGTCCGCAGCATGCTGCCTGTGGCTTGATCAAGCGCACGCGCGCGCTCAAACACACGTTTCTGAGCCTCAAACACACATGCGTGCCCGCGGAATACACCGCGAATGACCAGGGAGCCGTGCCAGGCATCCAGGCTGGGGGACAACAAGAAGGAGACAAAGGGAGACAAATGAACCCGTCCGCCCGGAGAGCCGTGCCAGACATCCAAGCTGGGAGACAAGTCCGCCGGGAGAGCCGGGACAACCCCAGGTGCCAAGAGCACCACTGGGTATCTCGGCGTAGGTTCGTTGAACATCATCAAAGAATCGATAGACGATTTAACTCCAGCGTGATTCACGTTTGTTTCACCGGGGGGTTAACAGAGCCTTCTCGTAGCTGAAGCCGTGCACCGCAGCGCACCGCTCTCGTCAGCTCGGGACTCCAAATGCGAGCAAGGACAGAGAGAGGCCGCAACTGATAACGAGGCACTGAACGAACAGACAGGGTGTAGCCAACGATAGACAAGGAAGACGACCCACCACGAGCCCAAGCGAAATCGAAGTCCAGATGAAGGGCAGACAGAGGACCCTGTCCCCAACATCCACAAGACAAGGAATGACCGAAGCCAGGGCCGAAGCCGAAGGCAAACCAGACCCTGCCAAAAGGACAGAACCGCGGGAAGTGAAGGAAACCGCGGAGCGTGAGTGCCACACATCCAGGCTGGGAGACAACGGGAGACAAATGAATCCGTCCACTCAAGAGGCATCCAGGCTGGGAGACAACGGGAGACAAATAAAGGGAGACAAATAAAGGGAGACAAAGGGAGACAAGTGAATCTGTCCGCCTGGAGAGCCGTGCCAGACATCCAGGCTGGGAGACAACGGGAGACAAATGAAGGGAAACAAAGCCCAGAGAGCCGTGCCAGACAAATGAAGGGAGACAAAGGGAGACAAATGAAGGGGACAAAGGGAGACACATGAACCCGTCCACCCAGAGAGCCGTGCCAGATCCAGGCTGGGAGACAACGGGAGACAAATGAAGGGAGACAAAGGGAGACAAATGAACCCGAGCCGCGCCAGGCATCCAGGCTGGGAGACAAATGAAGGGAGACAAAGGGAGACAAATGAACCCGTCCACCCAGAGAGCCGTGCCAGGCATCCAGGCTGGGAGACAACGGGAGACAAATGACAAAGGGAGACAAATGAACCCGTCCACCCAGACTGGATCATCCAGGCTGGGAGACAACGGGAGACAAATGAAGGGAGACAAAGGGAGACAAGTGAACCCAGGGAGACAAACGAACGCGTCCACCCAGAGAGCCGTGCCAGGCATCCAGGCGGGGAGACAACGGGAGACAAATGAAGGGAGACACAGGGAGACAAATGAACCCGTCCACCCAGAGAGCTGTGCCAGGCATCCAGGCTAGGGCTTGGCAACAGGCGAGCCACCTTAAATGAATTTAGAACCCCTCACAGTAAACTGTTTGGGGAAAAAGAAAGAAACAAGGGTACCACTGGCCAACTGTTGGTAACACACATGTTCTCTGGAAATCTTCTCGTTTCAGCGACCTGGTTTTTCAGAATGATTGCATGTTGGGCCAAGGAAAGTGCTTGAAGAAGAATTTGTTCTGTGACGAAACTTCTATGAACGTCTTCTGGGGCGATTCTGTGGTTCCATTTACTCTTTTTGCGACATTCTGAGTCAGCCACTTTAAGACCAAGCCATAGCGTCATTGGGGGGATCCCAGAAGCCCTGCAATGACGCACCCGGCAACCGGCAAGTCTTGTCTCTCGTGACTCTGAAGAATTTCTGGTCCTTCCACTTCGTGGAAAATGGGTCGTGGGTCAAATCGAGACATCTCCCGTCTGGACAGTGAATCAAGTGAATGGGAGGGAGAACTGGGAGAAGGAACTTCCAGTGCCCTAGCCTCTAAAGGGGCACCTCAGGCACTCACTCTGCCGCTGCGTGAAGTTGCAAGACTGATTTTGAGGGCGTGAAGCTGCCCCCTTGTCAAAAACCTCAACTTGGGGGGGGGGGCGATTCATGCATCATGCCACCTGGCAGATGAGAGTTGCTCCATGTCATCCGTTGAAAATAGAAGCGTGAAACCCACAATAGAGGTTGTCTGCCATGAATGGCTAACGCTAAAATATACAATGGCAAAATGTCTTCTCTGATCCTCCGCCTGTTTACCAATCATGTCACACATGCTCAGTGATGGTGTACGTTCGAAAGCCTGACACCGGAGGACAAACGGCGGGAGTTGCTTATTGGCTGCGCGCCGTGATGGTACATGATGACCGTCTTGGGCAACAAATAACAGGGTATGGGTCAAAATGAAACCACCAGGGGACCGCATGTTTTAGTCCTTGGTTCCATCTACCAGGGTCCCATTTTGGGCACCAATTTTTGACCCACAACTGGCATTCTTTCAGGTTGGCATCTCTCAGCGCCTCACAAGCCCTTCTTGCCCTGCCTGGTTGCCTTCGCAGCATCGGCACGGAGTCCTGGGGCATTGATCAGCCATCTCACCTCAAAACACTCCAACAGTGAACCACACGGATGGGACCAAACAAGGTCATCTTGTTGAAATCATCTGACCCTTTGGGCAGCAACTGGTGGTGCGCCTTGTGTAAAGTCAAATCTAGCTGGCCAACCACACCTGGAAGCATGGCAAGGCATGGGCCCGCAGATCCAGAATCCTCAACAAATTTCAGCCTTGCCCTCCTCCTTCCAGCCCAGCACGCCCACCAAACTATCCCCATCCAAAAAGCTTCATGGACGACTCCTCCTTCAAACCCCAAACGCCCCCTCCAAACCATCCCGTCCCCATCCAAACTCTTTCCTGCCCCAAACACCCCTCAAACCATTCCCATGCAAAAGCTTCACCGGCCCCAAACGCACCATCCGTATCCAACCACACCGACAACCCCAAACGCCCCACCAAAACTTCATGAACGACTCCTTCTTCCGACCGCGAACTGTAAAAGGCTTCATGGGCGACTCTTCCTTCTGCCCATCAAAAACCCTCATGGGCGACTCCCCCTTCCGGCCTCAAACTCCGCGACTCCTCTGGCCCCAAACGCCCCACCCCAAGCACCAGCTTGACGGACAACTCCCCCCGCCGGGCCCAAACACCCACCAAGCCATCCCCAACCAACTCCTCCTTCCATCCTCATCAAACCATGCCCATGCAGCTTCAAGGGCTGCGGGAAAAACTGACTTTCAAGGCAAAGTCAAGGTGGGCAGAAGCGCTTGCGTGCGAGCGCGGAGCACACCCCAAGTCATCCCCATCAGAAAGCTTCACGGACCAACCATCCCCATCTTCCCTTTTGATTAAGAACCCTGGAAAAAGAAAAAAAAGTTCAAGTAGTTCTCGATTCCTTAAAAAACCAACAGGGAAAAATAAAGACATTCTTAAGCAGATGGAAGCCATTGAAAGCTTCATGAGCGACTGCTTCCGCCCGCCAAGCCATCCCCCCCACCCGGTCCTAGCAGCACAGACACCGCCTCCGAATGCCCGAACCGCGCCGCCAGATGCAGCGGCCGCGTCTCCTGCAAGTCGCCCCCGTCCACCGCAAACACGTGGCCCAGCTCCTGCGCTGCTTGGAATCACTTCATCTGAAGCAAGTCGCGAAGGCATGAGTCAGCCACTGGTACTCAACGTATTACTCAAGGTATCGGGTTCTATGATACATAGAAATATAGATCTACATATGAGTTGTATGCAATTGCATGCAATCCGATGATTTGACTGGATCACGTAATGGGTCATACAACGGATTCAATTAGATTGACAATGGGGTGCCAATTTGAAGAAACCGCCTTAATGGATGATTCATAGCAATCATGACCGAGTATCAGCGTGATATGCTTGGATACACCAGCCAATGGCTCACTGGTGCTCAGACGCGGGTGGATGAAGCAACCACCACCAAGAGCAGGGACAACGGAGACTTGGCCATGCCAAATTCAAATGAATGATTGGGCAATCTTCCAGGAAACCTAAATCAGCCTGTAAGTCAATGCTTGACTTGCAGCCCGTGCATGCAGTTGCACACCCCTTGCATGCCCCTGTGCCAGTGCATGTTCTTGCAACTTGAATATAGAACTGTGATGAACTACATGGCTGGTTGGTGGTTTCAGCAGAATGAGAAAAGCATTGGCAAATCGGGCAACTCATCCCATTCATTGGATTCAACATGAAACATGTTTGAAACCACCGACCTCCCCCGTCTGTAAACCGCCAGACCCAAGGCACTCTGGACTTGAGTCCGCTGTGGCGCTGAGTGTCCACTTGCTACTCATTTATTTGGGCACTCATCAAGACTCCAACACAAATGCTTTCCCAGGAAGCTGATTCCCCTGTGAAGCGGTCTGAGTGGAAAATTTCATCCCAGCTCATTCGGATGCACACCTCTTGCCTCCTTCCAGGTTTTCAGGGGCACAAAACATGGGCTGGAGCGGAGTCACAGGCTTGGGGCTTGCGCCTTATGTTCAGACCCGTGCACAAGCCATGACTCATGAAATTGCAGAGTCGCACACCTGCACTACTTCAGCATCTTAACATCATGGACACTTAACCATAAATGGGACAAATAGTATTTGCAGCAGTTACAGACAAAAAAAAAACAGATTCCCATGTGAGTTTTGGTTCTTCTGCGGCACATACTGTGAATGGACAAAATCCTGCACCACTTTGAGCATGGGAAACCATTGTTTGCTGGTATTTACAGGGGAACCATCATCGCAGGGTTTCCTTGGTGGTGCCTAAGAGGATTTTGTCCATCCACACTAGTATTTGGCCTTTTGGTGTTTTTGATTCCCAAAAAACTTGGCCATGTGAGTGTGGGTCAAAAAAAAGGTACCCAAAATGGAGCCCTGGTACTGCGGTCCAATTCCTGCTGGCTTCATTTTGACCCACACCCATATCCCAAAAATCGGGGCTCATGAACAGCCACGCTGGTACCCCAACCATGTAGAGAAGGGGGGCGACTGAAGGGTAGCCCGGTTTTATGTGGGGGTCTCCCGCTTCTCTCCCGGCCTCCCCGCGCTTCTCTCCCGGTGGGTTTTCTTTTTGCCTCTCCCGCGTCCGCCGGGCAAAACTTTCGCCGACTGTCGGCCTCCAGGAGCTCGGCGTGGTTCCACTGCGCCGCCAGGTGCACGGGGCTGCGCTTCCCGGGCGCTGGCTGGGCGCAACTGCGGGCGGGGGTTGAGGTCTCAAGTCCTAATTCTGGGTAGGTGCCCCTGCCAAATACCAAAAAAAAAGCGCCATGGGCACACAAAAAGATTTTTTTCTGGCCATAGTTCCCAGTGGATATTGGGAGTACCTGCCCAGGGGCACGTGGTTTGGCCACTGGAAAAAACGGTTTGGAGGTGTGGCGAATCCGAGGATCCACCAACGCCTTGGAGATTTTAATAGGACTGAAAGACTACTGAAAAAGACATATTTTAAGAGCGAAAGACTACTAAAAAGGAAATCGCAGGGGCAGTACCGGTGAAATCCACACAAAGCGCAAACCGGCCGGGGGCCGGGAGCGGCGTCGCCGGTGTTCGCCACAAGCGCTTTGGCGTGGAACCGAAGACCTTCCGCACCACGATAACCAACAACACGACTGTGGATGGAGGCAATCCTGCCTGCTAAGAGACCATGGTTGACACCATTGTTGATTGGTATTTGCAGGAGAATCAACAGTTCAGGGTTTATTAGGTCGTGCCTAAGAGGATTTCGTTCATCCACAGTAACACGTACAAATGGTTAGAGATGGGCGCCCTTGAACTTTGATCGGAGATGGAGGGTTCTCAGGAGGCAAATGCTCGTCGTGCGACAGCCTGCAGCTTTGACTCCCGTTTTCGTCTGCCTTGCCTCGCCAAGCAGATTATAGCGATGTGCCACTGCAAATGCTGCTTATGCTCAGGGTTCTGGGATAGCATCAAAAGCACTCATAAGCCAAACGTTCTGTGGACTTCACAAAATCCACTTCGCACCACCAAATCAAGAAACCCTGGAATTACTGATTTGATTCCCCCACAAAAATACCAAGTCACCTTACGGTGTCCTTCCCATGTCTGGTTTCTGATGCTTCCCCGCAAATGCCAACCTTTGTGGTTTCACTCCCATGGCTTTCCATGAATTCCCCTGTAAATACCAGCAGTTAGGGAAAGCCATGGGGATTCCGCCCATCACGACTTTCAACGCCGAAAACAGTTGGTCCGCCCGGCCAAACCACTCGGCGACTCGGCGACTCGGCACGGCCTGGAGGCGATGGCCCTCACTGCCTCCACAGCCCCCGAGAGCACCGCCAGGTCCAAAGCGCTGTGCTGATTCTTGTCCAAGGCCTGCGGAGCTTTTTTTTTGTTTTTTTCTTCGCAACCCGAAAGCGAAAGGGAAAGCAGGAGCCTTCACTTGCATGAAATCACGTGGGATATGAAGCACCTTGTACTTCCGGATGAACTTATAATATGCATGTATGCATGTATGTATGTATACATACATGTCTTCTTTTGGCGGGTAAGCAAGACAACTGGGATCTCAAGAGATGTCAGTGGAGTGTCAAAAACGCAGACATCTGATTGGCAGAGGTGCTACGCTCGAACGGCAAGTGCCATGAGAGGAACCAATGGAGATTGGAATGGAAAGCTCCGCTCTTCGCAGGACACGACTGCATGGCCCGTCGAGAAGGGTGCGGCCCAAGCTTCGTGCAGTTGCGAGGAACTTGTAGGTCGGGCACGCTGAGCAGACCCGAAAGCCGAACATCTCAAACCTCACTTTGACCTAAACCAAAACCTAAGTCCCCCTGACCTCGCAAGCTGACAGAGTGAGGGAACTGGCTTCCGACGTCCCTTCTCGGGACCTGCAGCTCGTCCGTCTCGTAGAAGGCAATAACACTCTGCAGGAGCGCCCCATCGCCTTTTGCGCCGAGGCGACGAGAGCAAAGAAAGCTCTTTGGAGACTCAGAGAGCCTAGGGGCCATCAGACTGGTGAATCAAGTTGATATTTTTCTTCCACTCGCAAACGATGGATTGAAGAAAAAATCATCTGTGAAGCCAAAAAACGCGCAGATTCCCAACTCACAAGATCTGCTCCCCTTCCGCCCCCTACCGCCCCTACCGCCCCTACCACCCTTACCCCCCCCCCCTCCCCGCAGCGACCAATTCCGCCGCTTCCGCGCGCTTCTCCCCCGCCTGCTTCCGCGGCCCGGTGCAGCGGCAGGCGGCCCAGCCTGTCCCGCTCCCGCAGGTCCCCCCGCCGCATCTCCGCCTGCGCGAGCAACGTTGGCGGTTTACATGTCTTGGCTTTTAGGCTTTAGGCTTTTAGGTTGGTGGACAACCCTAACCCGAGTTAGGGGATGGTAGGGATGGTGGGGATGGTGGGGATGGTGGGGATGGTGGGGATGGTGGGGATGGTGGGGATGGTGGGGATGGTGGGGATGGTGGGGATGGTGGGGATGGTGGGGATGGTGGGGATGGTGGGGATGGTGGGGATGGTGATGATGGTACTCCTTGCTTGGGGACGGTCATTTTGAGGCGGGGGGCGAAAGGAGCCGCGAGGGTTTGCAGCGCCAGGTCCTTCCAACCGCTTTTTCAGGAGCCCCAGCCCTGGGAAGGTCAACCCGGGGAGGTCTGCCAAAAACCGAAGTGATCAGTTTCTTTTAGGGGGCAGGGGTATCTGTTTATTCTTTTGATTGTTTTTCCCCCGGAGGTCGGCCAAAAACCGGCCAATTGCTTTAGGAAAGGCAATTTTATGTCGGGTTTAGTTTAGGCGAAAATTGGCATTCCAGGAAAGATGAAAAGAAAGCTGATCAATGCAAGCCAGAAGACAAGCATTTTGCGGATCAATGCAAACCGGGCTTCTGCAGCACGAGCCAGGGTCTGTTTTGGAAATTGTGTGCTTCATTGCAAGCAAGAACTCCTGCTGCCAACTGGCAAGAGTACTCCACTTGACCCATTTTCTACGTCACAAATTGTCAAGCACGCACCGCGCAAAATTACAAGCACAATGGCTGGTTCCCTATTTGTTTCAACCGCTTCGCGCTCTTTTCGGGAAGTAGTTGAGCCTAGCCACCTGACCTGCAGGTAGAGAAATGTTTCTGACGACTCGTGATATTTCCACCTGTCCATGCAATAATAAGCAGAACGAACAACGCCAAAAGGACTTTTCATCCCAATCCACCGGCGGGTGCACTGGTCTTTCTCATCCACCCCCCCCCCAAAAAAAAAATGGAGCCGCGCATCTGGGTCCTTGTTTTTTGGCTGGGGCACCCTTTTCTAAGGGAGTTTTACAGGGAAACCGCAACCCAAAAAAAGTGAACCGCGGCATTTTGGGCGTCCCACCTAAAAGACGCCAATTTGGGTCCAACCTAAAACCAACAGAAATTATTTAACAAAACATAAAATAAAATAAAAACGGGGCCAAGATTGACCTCGCGACTCGGCTCCAACTCCGCGAGCCCCGCCAGAAGCTCGAAGGCGTCTCGGGTGCCCCAGCGTGCGGCCAGGTGCAGAGCCTACGGGAACCCACAGTTGAGGATGTCTTTTGCTTTAGGTTTGGAAAAGCAAAGGTATGGTAGAATGTGGTTGGGTTTCATGGATGTGTTGTTTTTGCTTTGTTTTTGTGTACAAACAAAATGTAGTACTATAGTGAACGTGGTGAACAGTCATGTTTCCTCAATTGGCATGAAACCCGTTCTCCCCAGCCCGTTTGCTTGATCCGAGCATGCTTTCTCGCCCTTTTGCGCGCACGCGATTTTTTGACATGTCTGCGCCTTCTGCCCCAGCTGGTCCGGACCATCCAGGAGCTCTGCTGTTAGCTGATCCACCTTGGCCTTCATCTCGTCGCGCAGCCTGCGGAGAGCGGAGGCGCTCCGAAAATTTCGGAGAGGCAGGCGAGCAGAAGGATCTCTGAGAGACCCACAGGGAAGATTCCAAGTCTCGTTTTGCCGGGTGTTGGTGGAAATCCAACTTGCAGAAATTCCTCTAGCTGGTGTCTACGAATTGTCCCAAGTGTCCATCTAGGGAAGCCGCGGATTTCCCATTTTTCGTGGTTGATTCAGTGGGCTGCCACAGACCTCAGCAACAGATCGCATACAACGGAGTTCTGCTGCACAAAACTTGCACGCCTGTCAACGAATTCTTCTCAAATCTCTGCTTTGGACACGCTTTGATCCGCCTGAACCTCTCGTGCAAGTCCGGGATTTGCTTCGTCTGAAGGGCCCTCTGCTCTTCCTTCGCGATCTCCAGGTCCTCGTGCTGCCTGGGCTCATGCGCTCGCAGGCCTTGAGGGGGCTGCACAGGGCAGTCGCGTGTGAATTTTGTCGGAACCCCCAAATCCTGTGTTCCTATTTGTTTCCCTTTAAACAATTTAAAAAAAAAACAAGGGAGAGGGGGGCACCCCCAAAAAAAGACAGACCCATCAAGAGATAAAGCGAGTGGCACGGCCCCTGGACCATGGTTGCCCTGTGCTTTCCCATTTGCCGAACTTGCGAGGGGTCAGACAGCACACCATATGCAAGTCCGCCAACATTGCTCGGCGTGTCGGACACCTAAGAGAGGATAGAGGATAACCCCCCCCCCCCCCAAACCCCCCCCCCCCCCGCCCGACGTTTGGGGGGAGGGGGGGCCCCCTGTGTCTGTTTTTGACCAATGTTGATCGCCTGCAACCATTTGGCTCAAGGCCCTTCTGTACCATAGCAATACTCATGATTGCGTGACAAAGGAACCTTTGCAGGCCGCTTACAGGATTATACCACAAGTCAACCCACCAGGGACAATCCATCCATTGGCATATTGGATACCACAGGGTACCAGTTCCCTTCTGGGATAGGCACCCCGGCAGTGGGCCTCAATTTGTGGTAGCGGAGCAGGTTTTCCGCAGAGATCCAAGGTAAAATGTCATCCAATGGAGAAGGCTTCATGGAGGCCTATTCAAGTATGGCCAAATCATCCGGCTATACGGAGGAAACACTCAACTTATCGATGACCGCCAAGCAGCCGCCATCGTACGACGGAAAAGTCAGCTGGCTCAGGTATGAAGAACTCGTGGACGAGGTAGGTGACAATCACCACGGTGGAAGCACCCAAGAGGACCACTCCTCAAAAGCAGACTCACCGGAGATGCTTACATGTACAAGGCAGTCCTCCAAAATGACTTTTTGCAAGATCCTATCACAGAAGGCAGAACCAAGAGTTCCTCATTTTCACCTCCAAATTCGAAATCCTTCTAATGAGATTGAAGGCAGCATGGATGGACTTGATGCCCGTCTTCACGGCACAGTCCCCATCATTTCGACAGTCTCGTACAGGACGCAAACGCCAGAACAATTGCTCGACATCAGCAAGCAGCCGGTACTCGAGCAAAATGAGGATGATCCGACAGTCCTCAGACAGTATATCACGGGAATGCAGGACGACGCATTTCCCTTCGCGGATAATCTCATTGCGCAGTTTTCCTTGTTCAGAGTGAATTGTCAGATCAGCAGAGAGAAAGACTGACCAGTGCTATGTCACTGAGAAACATTTCACTAGAGCACTACTCCTATGAGATGCTGAAGACGCATTACCATGAACTCTTCATCACGACCAGGACATCCATCCAAGATCCATCCATCCGACCTCAAGGAGGCAACCGAAGCAACACATTCTTCATCCTCGAGCAAGGCGGATACAAAGGAGAAGAAGGCTTTTGGGTTGAAGATGAAGATGGACTTGAAGGATTCATGTCAAACAACGATGAAGAGACATTCTGGGTCCTCGAAGAGAACGATGCGTTCATAGCAAGAAAAGTGTCAGGGCGGAATTTCAGATTCAAAAAGAGAAAAGGAAAAGGAAAATCAGGAAACAAAAAGGGCAGTCACCAACGAGGTGGCTTCAAACCCTTTCGAAAAAGCGGTTCTGGCGGGAAGGCCAATATGGCCAATGAAAATTATGATCCCTACGACCAGGCATATTGGGGAAAAGGCAAAGGAAAGAAGGGAAAGAAAGGAAAATCCAAATTCCAATGTCCCTATGATGGAAACAAGGGTTATCCATCCTATGAGAATGGCAAAGGAAAGGGCGGACATGACAAAGGAAAATCCAAAACGTTCGCAGCCCTCGCAGAGAAGCTGGAGGAGCATCCTGCCACGCAGCAAGTTGCTGAACTCCAAGAGCCTGCCTATGCCGGTTGGACAGACCAAGATTGGAATCTGATTGGATCAGCTTCCCGTCAATGGCTTCTTTCTCATGATGCTCATATGCGTCATGGAATTCCATTAGCGCTTGTCCTGTGCTGGATGTCTCATGGGATGAGTACCAGCCTTGTTCGTTCCATGTCCATGATTGATCCAGTTTCAGAACACAATTTGTCCGTAACAACAGATCACAGCCTTTTGGCAACAAAGCTGATGGCGCCTGTCATCAACCCTCAGCACAATCCGACCTATGCGATCCTGGACAACGGATGTACCAGATCCAGCGTTTTACTCAGGCCATCGAACCCATGAAGGACCTCATCTCCTATCAGTACATCCCGGCCGAGACCAAGTTCACTTTTGCAAACGGAGAAACAGCCAAAGTAAATTGGACCTTGCCTTGCATCTCCGATATCACACAACTCCTCCATGCAGTACCAACATCGACGTCCTTGAACAAGGAACTGTACCTATCCTCCTCAGCATCAGTCAGATGCTGAACCTCTACATGACCATCGAGCACACACCTCAATGTGACAAGATCACATGCAAGGCCTTTGGCATGAACCGTCAAGCAGTTCCAGTATCCGGTACAGTACAGGACATGCACTCGTCGACCTCGCTGGAGTTGCAAGAGTGAAAGCCAAAGCACATGGAGAAATTGCCATCAAGGGCCTCACCAACTACGTCTACGATGATGACAACAGCATCAAGTTTCCCTCCGGGGATATCTCCAAGAGTGAAACTGTTTGTGCATCCAAATCATCCGAGACGAAAGAGGACCTAGCAACTCCTAAAATCATTGGGTTTGGAACAGGAGAACACATCATTGTTTTTGTCATCCTGGATGGAGCAACAACATTGCTCACTGCAGAGGCAGTGACAACTACGCAAGAAGTCGAGAACATCACTGTCCTCAGGAACTATTTTGACCAGTACCACTTGCAGCCCAAATCAGTTGTCGCAGATCAAGCCTTTGTGACGGAGACATGGGAACATTTCTATCAATCCCTTGACATCACACCGATATCCTTGGGACCGAACACACCATGGCCAAATCGAGCTGAAGCTGCAGTTCGACTCCTGAAGGCACAACTCAAGATCATACTAAGTTCCATCAAGGCAGGCACAGCGCCTGCAACACTGAAGAAAGTGACATATAGACAGCTGGTGAAGGCAGCTGCAACTGTCAGGAATCAGTGAATCAGACTGTCACGAACGGGGGTGTAACACCATTGGAACTCGCATTCGGAAGACGACCAGCAGATCTCATCCAACTCGATGTCGCAACACCAACTCAGTTGACGATTGACAGGAATGAGGAAGAGCTGACAGCCATCCAGATCAAGCAGCTGTCTAAGCAAGCATTCCAAGAAGCACGTCAGTCCGAAGACATCCGACGAGACCTTGCGCAAAATCTCCGAATGAGTTCTAAGCCTCTTCAGGTGAAGGACAAGGTATTTTACTGGCAGGAAGACAAATCCAAGATCCGTTCCGATGGAAGCAAGGGAGGAATATGGCTAAAAGGAAAAGTCATTTCCATCGAAGGAGCAATGGTAGGACTTGATCTTGGGACTCGACTCCTCAAGGTTAACACGACGAAGGTCAGAAAGGATGAAACTATCCCTCTGGGGAAACCTGGAATTGATCTTCTCTTACCAGAAGAGCGAGAATCCTTGCAGAAAGAGCAAGCCGGCTCCTCAGCCGACTCCAAGAAGAAGGAGTCATCCGCACCAGCTCCTAAGCCAAAATCCTCAGTGCCATTACGCATCGCGGGTAAGACAACTCCCAAGCCTGCAGCACCTCATCCGGCAGAGAACATGTTCGTCGAGGACCTCACATCCGTTCCTGAACAAGCACATTGGAATTGTGTACGCAAAGGAAAGATCCACGTTCTCGAGATCTTTGCAGGAAGTGCCAGATTCAGTCAATGCTGCGCACTTACAGGTCTTAAGGTTGGGACTCCCATAGACATCCGCACCGGGTTCGACGTAATGACATCCAAGGGACGACACATGGTCATGGAGATCATCAAGGAGCAGGCACCTGATGTAATCCTCATGGCACCGGTCTGTGGACCGTGGTCAAATATGCAGAACATCCAACAAGACCAACAAAGAGTCTGGGAGAGCTATCTTCCCATGGTTCAGTTTGTGGCATCCATTGCGCGATATCAGTTGCAGCACGGAAGATACTTCATCATTGAGAATCCTCAGACATCCAAGATATGGTATCTGAACTGTATGCAGCAACTATTTTCAGATCCATCCGTGACCTGGGGAGATTTCCATTTCTGTGCATACGGACTGAAAGGATTCAGAAGTCTCAAACCCACGAGCTTGATGCACTGTTTACCTCCCGAGGAAATGAGACCAATCTTCAGAAAGTGTAAGAATTTTACCAGCTCAGTCAAGCACGAACATCAACCCCTCGAGGGAAATGCTGGTACTTTCGGAAGCAGAACCAAACTGGCACAGGTGTCTCCTTACCAGTTCTGTCAGGATCTCGCGCACATCCTCCTGCGACACTTGAAGGTGAAACCACTTGACAACGAGGTGTATCTCTTGGAGGACCTTTTCGAACCATTCACCATCAAGCAAGTTGACATCCTAAGAAAGGAGATGGAAGCCATTGACACGGAGTTCAACATGACCAGCAGTAGTCTTGCGGTCAGAATTCAGGACCTCCCATTCAACAAGGACGTTCAACCATTGGTCATCCAAGATCCGCTAGTCCAAAAGTTTCAGAAGACGATGAAGCAGTACCCTCCGGGGACTGAAATCGATATCTTCAAACAAGATCCTAATGACTGCAAGAAGTTGAGACAATTGTGCATCTCATCCACTCAGTCCGATGCATGCACAGCATACGTCCACACCATCGGCATTAACATGCCAATTACGTCACCTCCGGACGATGCGATCATATCCTTCTGGCAACCTGATCAGCTGAATAGAATTTGGGTCTTGCCTGCATCCAAATGCAATTGGGAGAATTATGATCCGAAGACTTGGTACGCAGTGATATTTTCATCCGTTCATCAGTCATTCTCAGATGCGCCGGCTATCAAGCCGATGCCCATCGAGACGGATCCAACCGATCCAACGGATGAACCTCAACAACCTGACACGCAGCAGCCACCTGATCAACCGGACCATCCCATGCCTGATCCAAGACCTCCAACTCCACCGGACGAGCACATGTCAGACCCTCCTCCGGATCCTCCACATCAGCCTGATCATCCC